CAATAAAAGGGTATGTATGTGAGGATGTATACATGTGAGATAAGACTACTCAGTCCCCAGAGAAAATATGATGCACCAGAAGGAGAAAAACAAAAAGTAAGTGAAGTGCAGTGTGCAACTCTTTCAGCTCACATTCCTTTCGATCAGTGGCTGAGAAAGATAATAGCCTCCACAGAGGCTTGCATCGTGCATTCTTGTCTCTCGCTATGCTCGCCTCAAATCCCCATTTCTGCTTTTGCATCTCTGCAGATACTGCATCTCTTCCCTCCTAGCTCCACCCCAGCTGTCAGCAGCAGCAGCAGCACGGGAAACCCACCAGCTCCAGAGGGCAAGGCAGGCAGAACACAAGAAGATCTTGGGAAGAGCACAGGGCAACATCTGGTAGACCCAGAGAGCCTGTCCGTCGCTGCCGGCCGCCATCATGTCATCGCCGCTTCCCGGGCTTCCAGGTACAGCTGATCCTCAAGGCCCATCAGAGTGGAGAAAATCCACTGGCAAACTCAATTATGCAAGAAGTGTGAATTAAACATGAGGCTACTACACAGGAATGTATACACACAGTGCAGACGTGCACACTTGCATGATACGTAATCATACAATATAACAACCCCATCTGTATGCTGATGCCAGAGGGGCTTTGTGAGGCCTTTTTGCAAACAGATCCTTGAAGAGCTGATTCACACCGGTTGTAACGTTACATATGACTGAAAAAGCATACGGACATCTAGGCCAGACTGGTTAGGGTGACAGCAAAGAAATAGGTGATTTGCAATCTTTGCCACCTATTACTTCGCTGTGAGCTTTAAAGAGCAAAAACAGCCTCGCGTGGGAGTTAAGCCTGGAGCCAAATACAGAGCCGATTTTCTCCCCATCTTTCTTTGTCTCTTTCCCCATGCCTCTCTCTCTCTCCCTCTGTCTTTGTGTGTGTCTCTCTCTCTCTCTCTCTCTCGTTCCTCCATGCCCTTTATTAATCATCCTTGGTTAGTGGGGCAGAGAGCGTGGTGTTAGGAGCTCTTGGGAGTGTAGAACCATGAAATACACACACACACACCTTAAAGTGCACACGCTCACTAATAGGCACCAGACTCATAAATCTAGGCAAACATTCTTCCATCCATCTCTTGTTTGCTTATAAAAGATCTAAAAATCAACAAAATATTAATAAAAACGCAGGAAAACTCCTAGGAATGACTATGCACACAAAAACAACGACACACGCCAAAAGTACGCATGTGCACACGTACAGCTGATCTTAAGCAATCCTGGCCTGAGGACCTTGGTCTCAGCTGCTGCTCCTGCTGATGTAACCTTTTGAAGAGTCTCAGTTGTTGTTTAGACATTCCAGGTACAGCATACAAGCAAAGTAAGGCCATCTCTCTCACCCATAAACACACTCACAGCTTGGGTCAGAACCAGTATACAGTATACAACAGCAGCATCACCAAGCCGTCACAGCTATTAGAACTCATTATCAGAGTGTTTGGATGTAGTAACCAACATCCTTGGAGAGCTTGATGTGGAATGATGGGACAAGGAGTTACAGCACAGCTAACCACCCGGGCTTCTGTGGCCAATGGGCAGCAAAGTTTCCTGAATAATGGAGGATGTAATTAGGCCTTATTTCTATGCAAGTAAGTGCACTTAGCCTAGAAGGTTCCAACTGGGCTACATGCCATTAATACCATTATCACTATTCGATCTCCCTGACAAAGTGGTGAGAGAACTGGCCAATTAGATGTTATAGGACAGTTAGAGGTTTACAGTAGAAGTCTGGGATAGCCTTTGGGAAGTGTAGCAGATGGATGTAGTGGTGGGTAGATACAGCTGAACTCACTTTATTCATCCTTTTGTTCTATTTTGTTGTGGTTTAACTTTAACTGAACTGTATAAATCCATGTCACCTATAGCGAATTACACGAGGAAGGGGGTCGATATGGATAAATCTATAAATGAATGATATTTTAATGTTCATTTGAGGATGTTGATCACACACCGGCAGTAATACAGTCAATGTTTCTGTTTATCCCTAGATTACTGGGTATGTATAATCAGGGTTGCTGTGTTTGGTGAATTCCACATATCAAAACGCTCATCTTACAAACAGAGCTCAGGTGACACAGCGGTGGGAACAGAGAGCAAGGGGACGCACCTGGTTTGACCGTCTTCAAGCGAATCGGCTCCCGAAAGTGGCGTATGACAGCCAGGGTGTCACGGTTTGTAAGTCCACTGACGGGCGTCCCGTTCACCTCCAGCAAGACGTCCCCGTAGTAGGGCAGCTTCCCGACGTGACACACCAGCACGTCCAGCTTCATCTGGCCCAGGTAAGGGAACTGTCCCAGCTCTGCTCCTCCCAGGACCTCCACCACGGAGCCAAAGTCCCCGAGGTTCCCCCATGACACCGCGCACTCCACCACTTTACTGGACCAGTGTTTCTTCTTCTTCAGTGTTCTGGACATGGTTACTCCCTTTTCGAACAACTAAAGATCTACCCGGTTACAGTCGCCTCGGTTCGCTGTCGTTAAATGAACATTAAGTGACGCGGCCTAATAAATCCTCCTGAGTTATTCTCCCGACCTGCTGGGAATCTCATCTTCCTGACATTTAGGAGGCTGATTTTCACCCATGAATCTGCCACTGAGCTCTGTCATCCCACGGTCTTATCGCTCCGGTGTGCGCACAGTTGCCTTGGTTGCAATAATTCCAAGCGCTCCTTGCGCGTAAAAACAGGAGAGCTGATGGCGGCAAGATGGTTAAAAAGGGAACAATTCAGGTTTCATGCTCTCCATCGCCACTCTGGAACCATATCCGCGCTTTGCCTCGTCTCTCGAGGAGCCTCCCGACGCCAAGTAGTCAAAAGAAAAATGTAAACAGAGAGGATTTTACTCAGTCGGCGGTAGATTGTGGAGTGTTTGTCGCTGAAATGTAGTGCGTCAACGAGAAATCCCTCATACCTGTGGGTAGGCTGACAATAGACGGGCGGCAGCGATCACCGGTAGGCGGTTTATGCAGTTGGAATCCAGCCCATGGTGACTGAGCTGAGAGACATCTGCGAGCGTTTGTCTGCTACAGGTTTGAACACACCTGGCACCGCCAAGAGAGATGTTGCCAAGCTCCGAAACGCCCCTTTTTACGCTCAGCGGCGGCAGACGCTCATGCTGGCTCCATCCTCCGGTGTGTTGTGGTACTAAATGATAAAAAAAAAAAAACAGACTGTGTAGAGTCCAGCGATGTTCACTGTAACTTGTTGTCATTTCAGTCTTCGTCCGAACATGTCTAACGACAATGTTTATCCGCATTTTCTTTCAACGTTCACGGGACTTGTCGAGAGCATTAGGTCGAACAAGTGGAACATATAAGACTAACTAAAACCACACAGAGCATGTAATCCCAATATCAAGCGTGCAAAACAAATTACACCTAATTAAGACTCCTAATTTGTACAGAATGAGGTAAGTATTCTCGGGGAGGTACATTCCGGTTGATCAGAATAAGTGTCTCCACAGCGCCACCTACCGACACAATCAGAGAAATCCAAACAATTTGCTGCTCCAGTTCATCCCCTCCCTGAGGTCTTTGATTTACACATGCATACCTACATACCAGCACGCCTGACTGCATTCAACTGCATTTATCCATGCATGACCTATAAGACGATGCTTGAATCGATTTAATCATTATCACCACAGCTTTGTTATCCAGTTGTTTATACAAAACACGCTTGCTTGTCACCTTAGTACTGTGTTCATGCATAAATTATCATCGTTCAAGTAGGTCTAGTGTTAAAAATCTGACCTTTTCTTTAAAGGGAAAATGTTCTCCCACCTACATGCAGAACCTTTAATGGGCTGCGAGCGCTTGCTTTGCATGAGCTCATACATTTACATAAACATCTGTGCATTGGAATCAAGCTGTTGATGAGATATAAGAGCTCTTTAAATGTTTGTTTCATGACAGATGTTTCAGATGCTTGAAGATGATACCAAACTGAAGAGGTGTTTCAGTGCAGCTCTGGAAGTTAATTAAACCTCTGGAGATTACCATCCGTGTTTCATAGCATGTTATAAATGACGCACACTTTGCTTTTTCCAAAACCTCTCCAATAAAGCCTGATGGATTTTGACTATTTGAGCATGTTGACTCACAGGACAGTCACATGTCAGCGTCATGTTGTCGAGTTAATTAACGTTGTGGCTCGAAGCAGGCGACACACCTTCTGTAGTATTTATAAAGCAGCAGTAGTTTCTGTTCACTGGGTGTGATGCATTAGAAGTCTGTGTTTAAATACAGAGCTGCCACCCTGGACATTGTGCTGAATAATTCATACCCTTGTAGAGGATGATTAACAATGCTATCATGTCATTGATGGGGAGCAGGGATCCAAACAAACTGCAGACTTTAAAAGGGCGAAGCACTGTCGGATTCAACTTGTATCCAGTGTTTCCTGGGATTCGGCTGGATTCACGTAGGAGGGACTTTGAAAAATGAGGTCTTTTTTCTTAACGTCAAGACTGATGATGGACTAACATTTTTTTAAGGCCCATATTAGCTGGCTTTGTGTTGGCTTGACACGACTAAATCCAGATTACAGATGGCTTGGCCTTTTAAATCATTCCAGAAATCATGCTGTGGTTAAGACCCCCTGTGCCTGGAATTACATGCAACCTAAAATCAAATCCTGCAAGAGCATGTTCTCCAATTTCTTAGTCAAGCCCCCTACTGTCAGACAGATGCCGTCACAGAAATCTGGAACAATCACTTGATTAATTATTAACAGAAAAACTTTGATAAGCGATAAAACATTTTAGTCATTCAACAAAACATTTGCTTGTCCCAGCTTCTCACATTCAGTATCTAGGGTTTTTTGGACAAACCAAACACTTTTTCACAAACCAAATTTCACCTTGAAGAAGAAAATAATGAACAACTTTTTTGTAAATGAAAAATGATCTTGTTTCTACTTGATAGAAGTGTTGAGGCAGACATTCATGATCCAAACCAAATTATCAGAATTCATGTTTAATGTTTGAGAAATGGCTACGTAACAAAAAGGCTCTTTAGACATGCTTTACAGAATGTACAGGCAAACAAGGTCAAAAAAAAAAAAAAAATACTACTAAAAACAAAATGCAAAACTTCAACAATACAAAAAAGCAGCATTGGATATCGCCAGAGCAGTTACTGCTAAACTTTGGTATAAAGTCATAAAAGGACGTTCAGAGAATAAAACAATACAAATGCAGATTATGTTACACTGTGTTGGCAGAAAATATTGACAACATGTAGCTCCATTAGAATTACTTCTCACTGCTCAAAAAAAAAAAAGGGGCCAATTTCATGACCTCGGCCAAGAAAACACCAAGAAACAACAAATATCTGCTTCTACTGAAGCAAGGGAGTGTGTCAAAATACAGAAGAACTCAGGGTTGGTTTAAGTCTCGACTTGAAAAATAATAACAGTTCATCAACTTCCTAGGTAATGCCATTTCAGAAGGGAAAGGCTTGGAATGTGCTGATGTGGCAATCAAAGGCATGATTAGCAAAATAAAGCTAGGAGCTAGAAACAAAAGAGTGCAAGAATGACATGCAATTCATATCTGCATGTGCCACTGAGGAGGCGGCTGTGTACCGATACCATTTGCTGCTCAACGCGTACACGCAGTCGATTTTGAGAAATTATTGATAAAAAGTAACGTAAAACATTACAAAGAAAATATAGCATCAAGCTACACCATTACAAATTTTCAACTCAGCATTATTGATTTTTAGTGTCTGAACTCTGCACCGCCACAAAAAAGGGAGAAAAGGAACATTATAAAGCCTTTCTTGGTCAAAAGTAAAAGAGCAGAATGTAGCAGTTCTGATTATCAACGAAACGGACATGACAATAACAAAAATAAACATTCAAATATGTTGTCAGACATAACCATGAAGAATGAGTAAGATATACACTCAGCTGCCAGTTTATTAGTTACACCTAGCTAAAACTCATGCAGTCTATTGCAGAGGGGTGTTTCTGTTATTTAATCTACCCTCATTGATATAAATGGCGTGGACGAAATACCAGAAACACCAGTCAGTATAATGCAATACAATCTTCCAAAAAGACCATACAGTTGAATCAACACCTCTTAAAAACCTTTATGAAGGTAGGATTTATTGCGCGACTGTTTAATCATACAGCATTAGTTTGAGTTAGGTGAACCCAATAAACCGGTGTAATTCTCTAAATATACTGAGCAAATGTGAGTTTTCTGAGTCCCAAACAAAGCCAATCACATCTGAGCAACTCTGAAGTGCAATAATTAAGGCAATTAACCTGATAAAAACAAGAGCGCATTCTTTTACACGAGAGGCATTTTCATTTTTAAAACAGCTGACATTTAGAAACAATACAGTTTGATGAAACTGTTTATTTATTGTATTTTATGAGGGAAACAAAACCCAAATTTGTTCATCTCGTTACCTGAACCAACAGGTAAAAACAGGGACGATAAAAGCTTAAAATTACTGCAGCAATATGTCGCAAACCTCTCTGCACATGGACTAGGACATGGAATTTAATAGATTACTATCCTTATGTACACATACATGTATAAAATAATACAATACATTCTCATTTTTCACAGTCCCAAGTGAAAACCTAGGCAATCGATATCTACGGAAGGATCATGAACTTTCTGAGATAAAACTGTGACGATAAATCCTCACAATTCAAAACGGCATGCACACTGCATAATAAAGTTGACCACCATTAAATTAAGTGCCTGTAAGATATGATAAAAGGGAAAACAAATCAGTGCATATTGTACATATAACCCATAACGTCACCTGATCGAGGTTACTGAGAATGCTTGTTTAAAAAAAAGGCCATCCAATAGACAACCATAAGAAAATAGCCAGCAAAACCATGATTGTCACATGTGCAAATAAAATTGTACGCTTTCTCCCCAAACTGCTCATGATAACGAAGACATAAAATGCATTTGACATAGGACAAAAAGATAAAGATGATATAGGATATATTCATATATATTCATAATATACACCACATTTTGGTGTCACTGTCTCTGGGATTTGCATAACAGGATACCAGATAGCATAGTTTTGAGTAATTCGGGATGGCTGTGGGAATTTAGGACGTATGTTTTCAATGTTCCTTCCTATATCAACAACCACAACCTGCTGGTCAGGGAACTACAATTGTCCCATTTTAAACCCCCTTTTCCCCACCTGGGAATACGTGGTTTGTAATTTCTACCAAAGTCATGTAGGCTGCTCCAACAGGTGTCTGTATCAGGAATGATGAGAGAAGATTCAGCCCCACAGCAGCAGGACGGAAGAGAGAGCTTTTAAAGACTTAACCATGTCTCGGCGTTGTCTCGTGGCAGCATCCGACATGGCTCTTTAAAGCATACATTCATAGCTTTCTCTGGAAAGAGAACAAAGAAGAGTGGAGGATGTTGGAGAAATTGGGCCCTGCAGAGGTGGAGGTGTCAAGGAGGAGGTCACTTTAATCACCGCAGTCCATTTCTCCAGCCTGACACCGCAGTCTTTCCACAATGGAGAACGTTAGCATGTCCTCTTGAGTGAAAGGGGAGTGTAAACATACAAGAGAGCATCTTTGGCAGAATGTGAGGAGTCTCTTTGGAGGTAGTGGGTGAAGAGGGGTGGGGGGTGCAGCAACGAGGAATCAGAGGCAGAACGTGGGTGGATTGTAAGGACCTATGTGGGAGCAGGATGCTCCTGCGGGTTAGTCCTATTAGAGGCACTTCTGTGGTCCTGCGTGCATTGGCTGGGAAAACAGTCCACCTCTGCGCCACTCTGTTCCTCTGCCCCGTCGGCACTGGAGGTCAGAGGAGGTGTCCTGTGTACAGTCACTGGGTGCTGGGATGCACCTGGTTGGGGTTTTGATGACGGATCGCCCCCTTCTCCCCAGAAGCACCTGCTAAGAGAATCTGCAAAGACAATAATACCTTTAGATTTTAAAGTATTGGTTAAACAAAAACAGCAATTTGAAGATATTCCTTTACACAGAACTTGTGATTGGTATTTTTCATTTTTTGACATTTTAAAGAACAAATAAAAAGTAAGTGATAGATTATTCGGTAGTTAAAATAATCATTAAAATGTACTTTTTAATGACTGATAAAAAAACATTTAAGCAGTTTATTTTTAGTCTGTTTACAGTTAATCAGTTGTTTCTTATCTAATTTCATCAGAGTTTAATAATGTTAGCGGCAAATACTTCGATCACCTGAGCAACCTTTGTAACAAGCCTCTATGAATCTAAACAGATCAGATCTGGAAGACTGATGTCTCTAATAAATAAGATCTTGTGTTCACTGAGAAATGTCTCATCTGTAAAATACTGGCTCCAGTAATCAATGACCTCAGTGTGTATACTGTATATAAAAGGCAAGCTAAAAGTAAACATTCCTGAGCATCTGCAAAAAAAATATAACTGCCACAAAAATATATATTTTATCTAATAATTCTACAATTTTTTCCCCTTTTCAGTAGCTGCAGGATGGTGTTACCCATAAACACCTCAGCAGGTAGGACTTGATATTTTGCACCTAGGAAAAAGGATGGTGTTGGACTTTAATGTTTCCAAGTCTCACCGTAGTCTGGGGGAGTGTGGCTGCTCAACCTTTTATCATGTGAGGTGAGAAAGTCACAGTCCTGGTTGCTAATGAGGCTCTCCAATGTTGTCTCCTTGTGCTGGGCATGCTCACTGAAGCTCTCCTTCAGGCCTGGTAGAGTTTTGTCCAGCGGATCATCCTCTCCCAGATAGGTGTAGGGGCAGTACTCCCGTGTGCGAGAGTAGATGTTGGCGTTGTCGTAGCAGTCGGAGCAAATGACCAGCGAACCTGCACCACCTGGCAAGACAGAATAAGTGTCTTGGTAAGTGTTACTTTCCATACGTTTGCTTTTCAAACCTTTTCTAGACCTTGGTTTTATTTGGAGCCTCAGTCAGTGTGATTAGCGGTAGCTGTTAAAAGGCCTCATGTACACTTATAAAGTGATTGCTAACGATTATTTGTACAACTATCACCGTTTATTGATTTATTTGTTTCAGAATAGGAAAAACTTTTCAAAAAGTAAAATCAAAAGACCTGGAATTACAATTAAAATTTAATTTTCTGTTTTACACTGTTGATCTACATATAGCCTCCTAAAACCAGATATAACTATTAATCGTTTTTTTAATGTATTTCAAAATTTCAGCAGTTTGGTAAAAGCACTTTGAGCTTCTTTTTTTTTTTAAATGAGAGGTGTTATATAAAAGTTTAGTATTATTACATGTGTTGAACATATTTTGTGGTTACACTATGTGTCCATCATCATATGAATCTATGCAGGTACTGCTGCAACTGTAGCATGCATTTTCTCTCATTTCATTTGCTCAAATATTATAATATTAAAATTAAATGGAAATATATACACCTTAAACTTGAGACCTTGTTACACCTTAATGTGAATACATCTACATATTTACAAGACAAGGTGAAAGGACTAGTGAAAAGCATAGATATATTAGTATCTAAACCTGGAAAAACACACATGAACACTAAGAAAAAAGTCTAATCTTTCAAAATCTTTAAAAAACACATAACTGCTTGTTTGCTGACGACACTAACCTGTGGGGAGTCCAGCTAATCCCTCACGGGGCTCTCCAGGGTGGAAGCTGCTGCGACCAGTGAACAGAGAGCCAACCCTGCAATGCAGCATGCCGTTCCCTTCAGTTTCCACCTCGCTGCCCGTGTCTCCATAACACACACCTGGGACATACATGATAATTAGTCAGTATCTCATTTCAGCAAATATCTGATCCAAAAACACAAAAGCAGAAACAAGAACCTAATGGGCTTGGGAGTGTTGAAAACCTGAAAAGAGCATCTGAGAAGCTATATTTTATTTAAATACAGAAATGTGATGTTTTAGTTTGTTTTTAATGTCAAAATTTGCCCAGACAGACAACAGGAAGAGTGGTAGTGTATCTTTGTGGGTTCACAATAATTTTGTTATCTTTGTGATGTTGACACACGAAACTTTGATTTCTTGTTATCACAATGCTAATATAACTCAACTCATTAGATAGAAACTCACAAGACTATGATGTGGAAATATGATCTATAATCAGCAGATATAAGTCAGTCTCTATTGGACATTACTTTATGTCTTCATCAAAAGTCACTACATTGTAAACTAATGAATCACTGACTACCACAGGACTCCATTAGTAGCTACTGTTACATTATTGGAATATTAAAATTACCTAAATCTAATAGGCAAATTTGTGTAAAACTAGCTGTTGAAGAGACAAGAAAAAGCAGAGTACACATATGTCTATGAATATTAATATTAAAGGGATATTACAGAAAGTTGTTACTGGGTTCCAGCTGCAGGAAGCACAATGTCATTTTGTACTGATGGCAAGTGTGTGCCGTGATGACAGCAGAGACTTTATATGTGCAGTTCACAAATGATTACTGATTAAGAATTGTGTGTGCTTAAGTCATGCAAGCAAACCATACACGTTATATCATGATCACGACATAATTATCTTGTCATCTTGATAAAAGGTTTGTGTTAGAGAGTCAAATATGGTGTAATTCACAAAATCTCAAAGGAAGACTGCTCACCATCTGTGCCCTTATGGACATATCCATTGGAAAGAGGAGGCATGAGCTGCTGGTGGCTGCCAGCCTCAGAATTACTGTAGCCTTCCTGCGGCTCTGACAAAGTACCCTGAGAGGACAGGTAGCTGGGGATGTCTGCTGGCAAATTCATCTCATCTGGAACAGACAGACATATTTTGTTACACAGTATAGAGTTCTGTGAAACGGTCTTATCCTCACAACAAAGTGCCATCCCCATAGACGCATTTCATGGTTTCCCTACACCCATCCCTCTACTGGGTGAAACTTCAAAATAGGCACATTTATTTTATAACACAGATGGCTGTGTGTCTAGAATGCTGACCTGTGTTGGTGATACTGTAGTCCTCACTCTTCCTGCGCATGTGATAGATGACAATGACCCACACCAGTGAGGTTCCAACCACACAGCACACCACCACAATCACCACGATGCCCACAGTGGTCCAGCCGTCCTGATCGTATCCTGTACCGGTGTCACAGTTTGGTGATGGTGAGACGCTCAGGTAGATGTGGCCACGTTCTGTTCCCAGAGTATTAGACATGATGCAGGTATATTTCCCAGCATCAGGAGGACCAGCATCAACTATGATAAGGAGCTGGTTGGCTGCAGCAAAAAAATGGCGCTCTGTGAGGACCAGAGGCCCATCATCTTTGGTCCAGTTGAGACGTGGGGCTGGGCTACCTCCAGCTATACATTGAAGCACTGCAGTTTCACCACGGGCCACTGTTCGGTCTTCCAGCGGTCGCATGAAGGATGGAGTTTCTGGAAGAGGATTAATTGATCTTGATTTAATAAGGATGTCAAACTGTTCAGATAGATGTGTATGAGGTCAAGTTTGTTATCTTGTGTTTTATGTTTAAGTACTTTAAAAGCCTTGAACACAAATGTTGAGTTATTGATGCTATACCAGCACAAAGCTTAAATAAAAACAGTTATTAAGAAATGTAATCACACAGTTTGTCAGAGACAGCCCATTCAGCCAGATTTAAGTATTTTCCATGGACACGGTATAATAACGTTTGTGTTTACATCATGATTAGTTAAAATTACAGAGTAGGAAACACAGCTAGGGTGTGTAATGAGTGACAGACATAAATGAGCAGCTAATTTTAGCTAATTTTTAGTGACTCAGCTAAAACGACCCAGTATTAAAACATCAGTAATATGCTCTGTTAATCAGGTGGGGTGACTCACCTAGGACAGTGAGAGTGGCATTTGCAGACAGGCTGCCAGCTGCATTTTGAGCAGTGCAGCTGTACACTCCCATGTCTTCTGTCTTCACGTTAGCAATGAAGAAGATGTCATCATCAGGCATCACATGCATCCTGCGCTCTCGGGCAGCAGGGAAGTCAGTGCCTCCGTCCTTCTGCCAAGCAATTTGGGGTGATGGATGGCCTTCAGCAGCACACTCCAGCCTGGCCATGGTCCCAGTCCGGATTGTCAGATCCATGGGAGTCTTAAGAAAGGATGGCAGCTCTGAAAGATAAACGATAGAAAGTCAAGGGTGGGCCAGAAAAGTAGAGACATATCTGTGTCAGGCAGAGATCAGAGATCAAACAGCAGTTGCAAATAAATCTTAGCGTTCTGTCATCTTGAATTCTAAAGCACAGAATCTTAGTAACAAACAAAGAATACAACTGTACTAGAACCATTATAAATTATGAAAAATATAGCTGTACCAGAACTATGTGTTAAGTATATTGGCAAGACCAGCACCTTACTGTTTAAAGAAAGTAAGACTGCAGAGCAAGAGAAAAACATGAGCCCCACTGACAGCCATCAATCACATTCTTTGACAAAAATCCTCACCATTAACAGTAAGCTTGGCCCTGTTGGAATAATTGGAGCCGAAGTGATTGGAGACCACACACTGGTAGCGCCCCTCATCAGTGAAGTTGACATTGAGGAGGTGAAGCACAGTGGTGTAGATCAGCTCTCCCTCCTGGTACCGGGCATAGTTTTGCACTTCTGCATCATACAGCACCTCCCCATCCTTCCGCCAAGCTGTGGTCATTGGCGAATCACTGCTGCTGGAAGCAACACAGCTCAGAGTCACATTGTTCCCCCGCAGTGCCACAGACGTCTCTGGATGAGTTGTGATATGAGGCTTGGGGAAGTCATCTGTGGAAGAGCAGAGACACAGAAAGTGTAAAACTGATTTTTTTTTTAGAAAATCCACATTTTACAGCAGACATCTTAACTGAAATGTAAGGTGTTCAACATAAAGTACGCCAACACAGGATGGGAAAAATGGTGGTCAGCTTCAACCTATTAGGACAGAACAACTGTATTTATTAAACTTGCTGTGTGAAAATAACCAACAACACATTTCAGCCATTTAAAAACTACCCAAAATTGAAACTCAATTGTTTTTCACACCAAAAACCATTTTCCACTGTGTTCACTGAAGAGTATCTATATTGGATCAGACTGAGAACAGCATAAAAAGAGAGAATGATACTGACCACAAACAAACTCTTCCGGGCTGATGGACAGGACGTTGCGTCCAAGAAGGCTGGCAGGATGAGCACAGACAGCAGTGACAGACTGCTGGAACTGGCTGTCAGTCAGCCAAGGCCCAAGCCACTGCATGTGGCAGTCACACAGCAGGCTGCTCGTGTTCAGGACACTGAGAACAGAAAGGTAATCAAGAAAGCGTGACATGAGTAATCATACAATTAGTTTGAAATAATCAAACTACTGTAGAGATAAAAGGATGAGATGAACCCACTGAACAAATTAATATGAATCTGGGATTTCCCGGATTTGTTTGTGAACATTTCAGAAAGTGATTTACGATTTGCCATTTCAGAAAAGTAAACTTGTGTTTACTTACTTGAGATGAAGGTTAATTTACCTGAATAATTTAAAGAGGGCCGTTATCTACTCCGAGTAATTCCAGTGCTGCTTGAGTAACAGTGAGCATGCGAGTAGCTGTATTTTACTTCAACGAATAAAATCAGAGCTCTGGCAGCTCTGTAATGATGAGTGATGATTTCTTGATTAAACAACCTTGTTCATGTGAACCCCGAAGGTAAGTCTTGTTGATAAACAAGTTTATAAAATACAGTGAGTTTATAAAACTTTAATGCCACCCTGAGGCAATTTTTGTAGTAGCTCAGATATATAAAAATACAATCCTGCGAGACAACTAAAAACACAAACATAATACAAACAATGATACACCAACATAAAAATACACCAGGGTTTTCATTTTCAGACCAGTCAGCAGGAGACATCAAAAAGTCAACCAACCATGGGAACCCGAATTACAGTTTAAATTATCTTAATCAAGACAGGAAAATTGATTAAATTGCTGACAACACCTCCGGAACCATGTTTTAATACACTTTATCCTAAAATAAATCTTAATTACATGGGTGTTGCCATTATATTCCTCTAGCTAAGTTATCAGGCAAAGCCACTTTATCCACTCGCCAAGCAAATAGTGCTATATTCTATTAAAGCAGCAGACTAATAACAGGCTATGACTGCTGTCATGATACACTTTCTGTGTTTGACAGCTGTTGGGGCATTTCGTTAGCCACTGCTTGAGAGACACTCCTAAAATGGGCTGATCAAAACCTCAAAAAAAGGTGACAGACGTAACATTTCCATTGTATTTCCTCACAGGCAGGAAAGAGAGCAGTTCTAACGAAGTGGAAAAATCTCAAAATCAAAAGCTGAATCCGAAATCTCTGCTTGTCCAACTGAGCCAATATATGTCCAGTTTTGGTAAGATAACAATCGATTGACTCAGCAACACATATTTTTTAAACATCACTGTCAAAAAAAAATTGGTCTCAAAAATGAAAGGCCCAAAGCATTAAGTTACAGAGTTCCTTTATCCATTCATTACTAGTACGTCAACTTGTTAACATCTTCTTCAAACAACAATATAATGCCAATTTAAAATGCTAATCATGTCTTTTAATTGCAGTGTTCCTTAATCATTATAATTACTTTTTAATGAAAGCATTAATAACAAATCTGTCTAAGAAACAATATTATTACAGGGAAAAGCTGGCTTCCAAATGTGCTTATGAGAGCTGTAAGATTAATTTTGTGTCTACTCACAACACTTTGAGCTTCGTATGGGACAACGCCTCAGGGTGTATCGACATGATGCCATTCTTGCTGAGGTCCCTGCAGAGGAGAAAATATGGATCAGACACACCTATGATGTGATTTGATCAAAATGGCATCCCATTTCACAAGCATAAGACAACAGCACAGTGGTAATAAAAGCCTTCTGCTATCTTTAATCATTTAACAACAACAACAGATCCTGTTGAGACACAAATACAACTGTGTGGAGAAACAAGGTTGCAGTGGCTTTACTCACAGGTGCTCCAGCTCATCCAAGCCCTCAAACGCTTTCTTAGTGATTGATTTGATTTTGTTCCGCTGTAGGATTCTGGAAAATAAAAAGATTTCAAATGATGTTCAGTAAAACGGTTGCCACAAAACCCGCTGCTAGGCAGAATTTTATTGCACACTGGAACCACTGTGTCAGCAGCTTTCGTTAAAGTTAAATTAAGACATTCGATCAGCCTTTCAGTGCAAGTAAGAATAAACCTAAGGGACAAAATAAAAACTGAAGTACAAAGAGACCTATGTAAATAAAACTTTACACTGTAATCAGAAAAGTGGTATGCAGCCAAATTTCTGGAACATTGATACAGAATTTAAAATGCAACTGCTTTATTTGTCTAAATGCAAGATATTTTACAAATGTGGATTATATAATAAATCAAAATCTGTATATATTCCCATTTATTTATGCATGTGTACAATCTGAGTGTCCTCACAGTGTGTTCAGCTTCTTCATTCCATCAAACACACCAATGGAGTCTTCAATGGCCCAGGAGATTTCATTATTACGGATATCTCTGAAAAACAAAGAGTCATATTTTCAATATTAAACATTCTCTACAGAGACTGGAGATGTAATGACTTCCCCTGCAAAGTTCTTTTTTTTTTTTTTAAAGACCACAGAGAGGGCACATTATCTCCACTGTGGCTGTCAGTAGCAGTGACTCTCACTTAGGAGACTAACAATCTGAGACACCATACTTTCACTGTGTGTCACAGTTCGCTGCCCCTGCTGTTCTGATGAGGGGAAATTAATTGGCTCTGTTTAGCACTGGGACAGTTCATGGGTCCACTGGAAACCAAGAGAGGCCTTGTGTTTACAGGATGGGTCATGGGCTCTTTTGTTTCTCTTTCCTCATGCCTGGCTACCTCTGAAAGAACATCAGCACTCTCCAATTCCCCTCTCCCATGAAAGCTCCCAGGATGGTCCAGCTTCCAAATATGAACCCCTTCTCCCAGCAGCTCAGTGGCTTAAGTGGAACTCTGTGTGGCAAATAAGGAGTTCACAACTTCCCCTCTTCTCAACGTTTCTTACCTCACAGATAAATGTGTGATGAAGAGGACATGCTTGCTCACATAGGCTATTCTGAGCCATAGCGACACAGTATTTTCAATGCTTTTGTGATGGCGTTAATATGGTTCAGAAGGGTCATCTAATATTATGCAAGCATACAAATACTGTGAATGGAATAATAATATCTTCATTTATATAGGGGTAAAAGCAGCAAACGTCTGCCATATTTGAACCAAGTAATTCATTTTGTGGCACTGATATGTGGAGCGTAAGTTTAGGAGGACATTATTCTAACAGATAACTCCCATTAACTTGACAAACAGAGCAGTGCACAATATATAATGGTATTCAACACCCAAGAAAACACATGTCAAATTCTCTCCCTGACTAATGCTGTGTTATTTGATATGCTCAGTAGACACTGAAATGTTGAGCATACCATACGGTGATATTACTTTATCCCTGCTTGATGAAATATATAAAAAAGCAAACAAACTCAACTCCCAGAGTAGGAGGACTCTTGCTCTACCCACACTGACAAAAGATTTGATAAACCTTCATCTCTTGGCCTCTGGCTCAGCTACATTGTAGAGACTAGCCTACTCTCTCCCCCGCACAATATTACAACAACCAACGACATGAGCTGTTGCCTCTAAAATATTCAATTAAGGAATATGTGATTTCACGTGTGCACACATTTTAACTCATTTGAAATCAGCACAATGACCACAGTGAATGGCAGGACAGAGGACACGAAACCAAGAGAACAGGATTCTAGGGAAATTACACATTGGGCGGTTGGATCTAAGGCTAAACAGATGACTATTGACAAGCAGGATTAAAACGCAATAAAGACTAGAGAGGATGCAGACTTAAAATACTGGCAAATTCTACTGTTATTACTCTTAACTATTTAGGAAGTGTACGGTATTCAAGACAGGACAAGAACTACATATCCAGAGTGAAACAAACAGACCTACTGTAGTCAGCAGCCTTCATGAGAATGCACAGAGCCAAGAACAATTCAGGAAAGGGTTATATTTTGCATACTAAGCTTCATTAAACCTGTTCAGATCAAATATGTGACATAGATTTCTTTAAGACATAGCACTTACAGCGTGCGCAGACTTGCCAGGCCGCTGAACACTCCCTCTCCCAAATGGCTGATAGAGTTTTCTCCCAGGTTCAGGCTCTCCAGGAGACCTAATCCTACGAAAGCCGTCTCCTCAAGTCTAGTCAGATGATTGAAGGACAAGTCTCTGTGCAGAACAAACAACAAATAGGAAAAAGATTAGTTCAAACTATTTTCATATTAACAGCAGTCTTGTATGTTAATATAACTCCACAAACAAGAATGAGACTCCAAAAGGAGGATAACTAATTCCTCTGAGCACTGAGAATGAATTTCAGAGCCCAGGGCTGATGAAAGAAAGTGAGGACTCTTAGGATTTTAGCTATGAAGCAAACACACTCACAGTTCCTCTAGCTTTTGGCAAAACTCCCAGGCGTCTGGTCGGATGATGCCGACAGTATTCTGGCTGACCCGCAGGACTCGCAGCATGCGCAGGCCATACAGCCAACCTTTGTTGACCTCGGTTAGGTTATTGTGCTCCAGCTCTCTGAGACACAGATGGGAAAAACAAAATGGTATTAACAAAAACATAAATTGATTTGTTTATGTGACATTGAGAGTTTTTTCCTGCTTCAGGGCTTTCCTCTCTACTATTTTTACAGCTAGTTTAAAAGGTTTTAAAGTGTATATACTGTTGAATCCTTGAACAAGTGTTAAAAGGAGAGTGTGTCCTCACAGTTCTTCAATGTTGTTAAGCCCAAAAAAGGCTCCATCCATGAGCTTAGTGATCCCGTTCCTCTGCATCTTCAGTGACCGCAGTGAGTCCATCCCTTTGAATGTCAGACTGTCCACTATCTTGATCTTGTTACGCTTCATTTCGCTAAAATGAGAGCAAGCATCAGTTTTTATCAATAAAGTGCATTCGTAAAAACAGGGCACTGGCTTATTTTAAAACTGGATTCACGTTAAATCAAGTCAACTACGTAAGTCAGAGTTTGTAGAACAGAATATAAATCAACAGATTTAGATGCCAACTATTAACCATTCATTTTTTTGCCTAATTATTTTAGTTGTTTACTTGCATAGAATACTTACAGGAACTGAAGCTGTGGTAGTTTGAAGACTTTGGATGGCAACACAACTAATCTGTTCCTGTTCAGTTTCAGCACCAGCAGGGAGCTGGAGATGTTTTCAAAGCAGCCAGGCTCAAGGACGCTGATCTTGTTATTACTCAAATTCCTATGAGATAAAAAAGCATAAACATCAGAGCCAAAATCAGCAAGGAGAAAACTGTCTGCTCTGTAGTTACACCTATTCTGTATGTGCATATCCACAGAAGGAGGCATCACAAAGCCAGCTGGTCTACAACAAGATGTTTTCTTACCACAAATTGATCAAAACAAAGTATTTGGTGCTCTGCTTAAATATATGCCCTGTAATACTTTGAACAGCCATAAATGCTGTCATTTTACCTCTTATTCCACTAGTTACAATACAAACATGCTTGTCATTAACAATAAACCAGTTTACAAATCATTAGATTACAACAAAACATTAGATCTCGTTCTAAACATTTTCTATTATTAAAACAAAATATTTGTGCAGCCTTGGAATATGTGTGAACCCTCTTAGTGCTTTCAGTTTTATTTTACATTCAACCTGCACTGTCTGTTCTTGTAGATAATGGTTAAATGAAGATGATTTACACTACTCACAAAAAGTTAGGGATATTCCACTTTCGGGTGAAATTTATGGAAAATGTAAAAAGTTGATGCTACAGTGATATTATATCATGAAAGTAGGGCATTTAAGTAGAAGGTCAAATTAAGATCACCTGGAAAGGTTATAGTGCATTTTATGTACATTCTGAAATTTCATCCGAACGCCGAATATCCCTAACTTTTTGTGAGTAGTGTAAATAAACAGTGTCTGCTTACAGATATTTCAGCTGCATGGAAGGGAAGGAGCCAACTTTGAGCTCAGAGATAGAGTTGGATGTCAGGTCCAGTGTCTCCAAGGAAACATATGGCTGCAGCTGGTGCATCATCAGCTCGGAGATCATATTGTGTACTCTGAATCACATAAAAATAATCATGAATTAGTTTTCAAAGTGATATTAGTACTGGTTATGAAGAGAAACTATGTGTATGGCATAGTCAAATCATATCAACATGACAACATATACACATATATATATATATAGACATATAGACACGTATATGTGTTGATGTACACGATGCTGGGCAACAGAAGATAATACCTCTTCATAACAGAATATATGGCATATTTTAAAGCAATTTGTTTAGTGATGGGAGAGGCAAGAAAACCTGAAGGGAATTGTATACTTACAATGACAGTGAGGTGATATTTGAGGAAACATCTCCAAGAAAAGGAAGAACAGTCAGCTCATTGTGATTCATGGTGCTGTAATGAAATTCAACATAACATTAGCATCATATTAAAAAGACTGCTAAATAAAATCTGCAGGAATAATTGAAATGGGCAAAATAAATGATTAAGATTAACCTCATTTGAGTCAGTCAGATCATGAATTATAATAATCCTTCCCAAATGTAATAGAAACTCTAAGCAAAGACCACCACAGTTTGATACTTACATTACATTCATGAGTTTATTAGGTACATGTATCTAAAACTAATACCCTTCAATACAACAGTAGAGCAACAACTGCTCCCTTCATGAAAATTATCGTTTCAATATTTTGTTGAAATTTTATTACCGTTGAACTGAAGGTGTTTTTACTATTGCATGCTACATTGATAAAGGCAGATCAAATATTGTAAAGAATGTAATAAAAATCAACAGCACCTCAAACTACAATCTCCAAAATTACCATGAACATGAATCAGCATCTCTCTAAAGCAATATCAACAAAAACAGAACATTTATAACATCCATAAAAGGTAGGATTTACTGTAAGGCTATTGCATTAGACTGTATTGTTTTTAGGAAAACTGGCAACTGAGTGTAAATCATGTTTTAGTTTATATTTCAGTCACATTTTTTACAGTGACAGGATAAATGAGGTTGGGTGTGATGATGAATCGTTGTAACTGTGCCTCTTCATAATGAAAATAAGGAAACTTTGCATAATGTCAATTCAATTTTGAACTCAATGTATGAGCTTTATTGCCAAAGCAAACAGATACTAACCATTATTTAAAAAATAACAATAATCATAAATAATAATAATTTAAAAAAAAAGGTGTGAATGTGTGTATATTTGTACAATCACAAACCTGTAACAGAAATATAACCTTAACAAGCAAACAAACAACAACAACAGTCAATTTCAACATGAAAAATTGGGTAAAAGTTCAAATATTTAGCTGCCAATGTAAAGCAATATTATATACTACATGTCCGAAAACAAACACAGTCTTATCAAGTGGCTATAACACATTTAAAAAGGGGTTTCTTGGCATGTTATGGTGCACCTCCTTGGGCCACAAATCAGTGCCGTAGGGACCAGAACAGGACGAACTTAAAGGAGTCTGTCCGGCTGTGTACTTACACTTGGGTTATCCCCTCCGGTGGGTCCCGGGGAGCCATCGACAGCCTTTTCCTGTTGCAGTCCAGAATATGGACCTCATCTTGTCCTTCTGAACACGAGCAAGGAGCCGGACAAGGACCAAGAGCCCAGGCACTCAAACTCAACAGCATGAAGACAAGGGCCGAAGGAATGGGCCAACCTTCCGCCATTTTAAATGACTTCCTACTGAAGGCTACGTAGCTACGTGGCTAACTCGCTGAACTGGCACAGTTACAAAATCACCATCAAATTGTTCTTTCCTGCAATTTTACAGCAGTCAACCGAGCACACGTTCCGGGTTTATAGTGCCACGATCCCAGGCGGAACTGTTAAATACAGTTTTTTCCCAACTTGCGTGAGGCATCCCAGCAGAGATTTGTCCCCTTCTTCCCAATGTCTGGAATTCCTTCCGCTCCTATCCGGAGCTAGCTCACTGCTGAGAGGATCTGCTCCCACAAATACACCACTTTTCTCCAGACGACATCGGTTTACCGCCACACCGGGTTGGCTTTTGATTATATTGAGCCAAGTTAAATGTGTCTCTTTGCTCAGACCGGCTGTTTACAACGTCCTAACGTCTTTCTTTGCCCCGAAAGAACAACAAAGCCCGTTGAGTTGATGACATAGGATATCCTACAGCCCGCCCCTCTCCAGCATACCTCGAGCTATTCTATTGGTCCGTGCGTGTGCCTGTCAAACATTCGCAGTGATTTGATTGGCTCTCAGTCCCAGTATGTTTTTGTGGTAGCCTCTACTGTACACAGTGAAAAAGTTTTACAGAACTGCTCTTGTATACATTTGTATGTCACATCCTTGTGGTTATTGGTGGTAATTTCCGCTTTTAGCCTTTTAAGAGTTTCATGTTGTATTGTGTAGTGTGTATTGACGTGTCACTTATGGTTATTTCACGTGTAAAAGCGCATTTAAAATAAATCTAATCACCCATTTTAAATTCAGAGTCCTACGTTAGTGAATTATTGTTAAGGATGGCAACAAAAGTTATGCAACATGTGACAAGAGGCTATGATATTGGCTCTAAAAATATTATTAGAAGTACTAAAAAGAGTAAATTTTATTTATAAAGCACTTTTCAGAACAATGTACAAGTGATTTTCATGGGGGAAAAAATCATTTAAAAACATTTCAGAACAACAATTAAAAGTATGAAATTAAGTAAAATTAAAAAAACAACAACAGAAAAGTCAGATTAGAACTGGCAAAATAAAACTTAAGGCTCTTAAGAGTTTATTTAAGAAATTAAGTGTTTTAAAGTTTAGCAAGTGGAGCAGTGTGACCATATTTTTTATAAGCAAATGTGTGTGCAGAGGATGTAGAAAATTTACTATAAATGAATATGCATTTAATTTGTCTCCACAGCTGCATAATTATTTATGTATGTTAATAATATCAGCATGTTTAATGTTTTTGCTCTCAGTGGTGGAATGTAACTAAGTACATTCACTCAAGTAATGCACTTAAGTACTAATTTGGGGTACTTGTACTTTAGCCTTTGTATTCCACTTTCTATAACTCCACTGTATGTCAGAGGGAAATTTACTTTTTTTACGTCACTCCAATTATATTTAGTTAGCTTAAGTTACAAATTCAGATAAATGCATAAAAACATACAAATAGCCTATAAAATATGATGTTTTGTTATACATTAAACTACCCAACAGTACAAGTGCAACTGAAACAATTAGTCTATTAATCACTCTGACAATTTACAGAAAATGTATACATTATTTTGATAATCAATTAAATAATTTTCCTGCAAAAACATTCAATGGTTCCAGCTTCACAGATGCATTTGGCTGCTTTTTAAATTATTTCAATCATTTTAATTTATTTTTTTATCATTTTGAGGTTTGGACCGTTCTCACTAATTTTAATCAATCAATTAATCTTGAAAATAATTAACAGATGAATCCATAATGTAAATAATTATTAGTTGATAGTAGATATAAAAAATGCTTTTACATTAATGCACGAATAATAATAATCAAATGATATAATATTATATAGTCTAATAGTTTAACAGTCACAGGGGAAGTTTTTCTGCACTTAAAGTTACTTCACTTTAGGTATTTCAAAGTGTTTTGCTACTTTTATTTAGGTAAAGGATTTGAATATGATTCACCACTTTTTGGCCCTCAGACAAAATCCTAAATCCTTTCTCCTTACTTTTTCCTTTTATTATCTGGAAGCGCTGCACTACAGGAGCATCGCCCGTTCAGCATCCAATCAGGAGTCGCACCTGGAGAACTTCACACAGGTTTTCACCCAGCTGCAAATAGCGTGAGTCTCTCCCTCCTGTCTCAAATTACAAATTGGAATCACATTTATAGGCTGCCACTACCAAAACTCCCTCACCAGTCTGTGGAAAACAACAACCAACCATGTTTCAACAACTTTCCCAAACCGTCGAACCTGCTTTCTTACGCAAGAAGAGAAAAGTGACCTCAGGGTTTCATCGGACATGTCGTCTGGACACAGAAAATGCGCACAGTGTTCTCCATGTTCTTGGCACCGCTATGGAGGCGAACCTGTTCAGGTAAAATGAAACGCGATCGTCGTTTAAAGAGACACACCTACACACAAACAGCACGAATACACACATGTTGTATGTTGTGAATGATGATTAAGATGTTTGTCACTTTCAGGTCGAGCTATTTGCCAAAATATTCTTTCATTCTTCTTCCTTTCTTGGAGATATTAGAGAAAACTACACCCAAAGGGACAGGGTGTAATTTTTATTCTCACTCCTGCGCATGCGCCACATACTAATACTTCTGTAATATAATGATGAGACAGACCAAAACTAGCACAAAGCACACTATAGTGTTACTCAGCCTGTAATAACTTATTAGTTCAAATGTCACAATGTGTTTCCTCCCATCACGGATCTGCATGAGAACCTTGACACTAAATAAACACAAAAGACACAGGCAAGCCATTGCCTTAGGGATGAGTAAACAGAGAGAGAGTCAGTCAAGAAAGATAAAGAGAGAGAGGTGACACGGCTGGGGGGGGGTGGCAGCCGGCTGACCAATCAGCGAACACAGAGGCTAAACTTTCGGTACCTGCAGCCTTCATAATCGCCTGTTGAGCTCAGCCGCAGTGTCCAAGACATTAGTCGGCGTCTTCGCTTCCTGATAACGGAGCAATTCCCTGTCAGTCCCTGCAGCCATGATTCACCCCCGGACTCTCAGAGTAGATTATGACAGGTCTATAAACGTTTTATGTGTGGTCGGCTCGGAGCTCAATGTGAACCTTTACAGGTAGGGTGTGCTCCAACTTGTTGGCGTTTGCACACACAGGCTTTGATGTTTGTTTTGTTGTTGTTGTGAGGATATGTCATGCTTATATTGTATTCTGAAGATGTTCTTTTTTTTTTTAAATTTCCAAATTCTCCTCAGGAAATATTACATTATAAGTTAATTTAATTGTTGTAGTGAGTTGAGTGTGACTCATTCTTTATTTTAATGAAGTGATCAGTAAATAATCATGAAGTTGACTCGACATCTTTCTAAAACAGCGAACTTTACATAGAAATACTGGAGGATTGCTGCATTAGACTGCATTCGTAGGAGTTGTACTTACCTAATACACTGTGTGTGTATAATAATGCCATTGTTAACCCACATCACCAGAGCTGGTGAAGGCAGCCCTGATGGTCTTTTTGTTTTGGACTGTTGAGAGAATCAGCTGTTGTTGCTGTCCAACAGGAGAGACTTTGTTGTCCCTAAAGTAATGTAGGCTATACTTTCTGCCAATTGCCTACACAACAACTACACAACAGAATGAGGCTAGATTACTGGGTAGAGTGGGAGACTGGCACACGGCCTGGATGCCAAGGGACTGTGAGGGATTTTTTAAATAGCCAGATATGAAAGTCTGATATCATTTAAAAGTAGCTCACCCTCACTTGTTTTTCCAAGTCTATCTTAAACCAATACTCACTACTGAAAGAGTTGTTGGTGGCTGTAATCGTTCGTCCTGTGCACTCTTTGTGCTTTGTGCGAAATGCATTTAAAGTTCAGCTGAAGCTCATTTGAGACTTTTAGCAGTTAAAGTAAAAAGTTAGTCAAATCAAGTGGATATCTTTCAAACGTACAGCCTTCTTACCACAGAAATCTAGCTTTTGCTGATTCTGTGCACATACATGTACATACGGGCATTGAAGTATTGCTTATTAGGTCAGGATTTTAAAAAGCATAGACCATGGACTGTATGTCTATGGTGTGGATATCTTATAAGCTCAGTTGACATTACTGCGAAAATAGCTGACATGGAAAACATGAGATCAAGTGGTGGTATAGTGTGAGACTATCAGGTATCTTGGTCCTTAGGCAGAATACAGGCATGTCCTCACCTGTGACTCATACCACAACACTTCATATTCCTTATAACACCATCTTAAGTGGTTATTTTTAATAAAACCAGCAGCATGTCTTTAAATCACTTTTATTGCTTTGCTGCCTTTCGGGGCAATAAAGAATATAGCCTGACTAACTTCATCATGACTACAGCCGCTACTTTGGTTTGCCACCTGTCACGAAATTTGAGCTTCTGGTCTGCCTGTATACGCCAACGCTCTTCTTTACTTGTATATAAACAAATATGTGCTCTCACACATCCTATGTTTGTGTTGTGTAAACAAGCCCTAACTTGTAGCGAAATGTGCTGTTTTTCTCGGTCTCAGGAGTGCCCCTCCCAACTCCAAGTTCTTCTCTGTGAAGTGCACTTCCAATGTTCAGTACAGCATCACGCCCCCGCCCCAGGAGACATCCCACCTCGCTCCCATACCTCTCAATGGAAACTCAGTACTACTCATCAGCATGAGCCAGGCCAGTCAATATGAAAATGATAGCAAGGTAAAGTATGACAGAAGTGTATGACCCTGATGTCACAGATCATGGGGCATGAACAGCTCCAGGATATGAGCCATAGATTAAAAAATGCTTATGTAGGAACTTGATTCAAACGAAAAACCTGATTAGGATTTTCCAGCATTCAGATGAAGTTATAGGAATTGCTCTTCTGTGGGAGTGTTAAGTGTTAAGCAATTTCCATGAAACAGAACAGTGTGTCAGTTTTTTCTTTGAAAGCATTTTTGTTTTAGAGCCTGAAACCAAACCACCAACAAAAAATCTTCTAAACTGAACTGTCTGCAGTCTTAGGATTTTATGATTTATGAGTTTGACTAGAAGTATATCAAAGTCAAACTCTCCCTGCAGCGTCTTAATTTAATTATTTATCACTTTTATAATAACCATAAGAGATATTCTAAAATATACAGAGCTCAATGGTTGTTGTTTTTTTGCAGTGTACAGCACTAATACTTTTCAGTCATGTTTTTTCATGCAAAATTTCAAAAATGTTATCTTCTACATTTGAATAACCTGTGCCTTTGTTTTATAAGTTGTCTGTCAGGTACTATGGGGAGAATAAAGAGGTGTTGGGAAAAGCAGTCCTGCATCTGACAGCTGTTGGTATGTTAAAGCATATGTTATGTATGCATATGTTCAATCTTTTAACTCTGAGTTGTTCTTTTGTCAGCTTAATAGCAGCAGAGTTTTGTTTAAATACACATCAAATTCAAGCACGACTCATGTAATTTCCGGAACGGTCTATATTTGTAATAGCTGGTCTATGATATGAACCACTATCTGGAATATTTTGGCCATGCAAAGTCACTGTGTGATAAACAAAATGTCTGTCGTGCAGAGATCTCTCTGGATGTGGATGCTGACAGAGATAATGTTGTGGAGAAAAACAACCCTAATAAGGTGAGCTCAAATGTGTCAGTTTTAGATGGCAAATTTGACACCTAATGAAAGAGATATTTTCTCTTCTTTTCACTTTCTGATAAACAATAACATGCCAAGTGTAACAAACTGAACAGGAGTGCTGCATATTAATCAGTTTAAAGTGTTCCCGCTTCCTATTTAGAATTCTAAACTTGTCTCGCTGCCTACTGCGTGTGAGATCTCTGTAAATGCCTGAACGGGCTATATTCAGAGACCGTTCAAGTTCTGCGTCACCACGTTGTTAAACTTTTCAATTCATTTAACTTTTCTCTATCAGAGGCACGATCTGTCTCTGAGTGTCTTGTTTAAACACACTCTTGTTCCTGTATTCTATATTTGTTTCAGAGTTTGATATGTGAAAGTAAACAAGTCACAACTATTTCAAATAACCTTTCGTACCTTTGTAGATTTTCCAGCAAACTAAAAGTTTGTTTCATGTTGTTAGGGTTCCTGGAAATGGGGCTCTAATGGGCATGGAGCCATCCTACTGGTCAACTGTGACTCAGAGCGGAAATACTGGAAGAAACCGGACAGTGAGGAGAACTTTGTCTCCAAAGTGTCAGGTAAAATGAGGATTCACTCTCATTCTTTACTCTGTATCATTAGGTTCATAAATGTTGTCAGCATTGGAAGGGCACTCATATTTACTTTTCCAAAGTCAGCAGATTAAAGTGGTGATATGGTCAGTCAGTTTGATAAAATTGTAAATCTTGAGACCTCTGTGAGTGTAAAGGTCAGGTTGATAAAGCAGCCCTCTCAAATTACTCTGACAAACCAGTAGAGCTGAAATGTGATAGTCAAAACAGATTTTATTCATTAGGTTTGCATTCTCTTGTTCATTTATAGCATGCATCATTTTACATTTACATTCCAAATTCTAAGTTTGAACAACACACCTGAACAACATTAACTCACTAGTCTCACTATGGCTGTACAGATCTGAAGGACATGTCTGTCATGGTGCTGCGGACCAGAGGCCCCGTTAAGCTCCCAGAGGGTTACAAGCTCACTATGCACATCTCTCAGGGCGACGCAGAGAGTGTCAGAGTCTTCAGGTCCAGATCCTCTGATAAGGCGACTAATTCCCTGCGTGAGTAAAGATGAGGGGTGAGAAAGCCCCAGAACAGATGATGTAACGTGCATGTATTTTAGGCACTATGTGTTATCTTGAAACATTTCTTTTTTTACTAACCTTGATATTGTTTTTTTCAATAATGTTTATCTTGTTCTTACCTTAGAAGGGAAACTCTATAACTACTTTGTGAAGGACTATCCACTGGTTCTGAGCAGTGAGGTTCTGTCCCAGGAAGTGCCTTACATCGGAGGCAGAGCAGAGATGAACTTTTATGTGGAAGGCCTCAGGTTTCCTGACAAAGACTTTGATGGGCTCATTAGCATCAACCTCAGTCTGTTGGAGCCCATCAGTGAAGTAAGATCTGCTACATTTTTAAAATCTATTTCACCTCCTACCATGAGTTCATTATGTTGTTTAATCAGATTGTTTCATGTTAAACTGTTTGTGATGAGTTTCAACCACATCTCACCGTCTTCCTGTTGATGATCTGGTTAAAAGCTCCCTACAAAGCTGATGGACCTTGAGATAAAATTAAAAACTTTTTTTGGTCAGACTACTATTTCCAAGGTCAAAAATTAACTTTTAACACTCATTAACAACATAATTGAACTTGTTTTGTGAATTGAACAGAAGTGAATTTGTTTACTTAAAAACGAAGATTCAGGTTCAGATTAATTTTGTTTTAGATTCAATTTTCCTTCAGTCAAATTACCTGTGAAGTTGAATATATATGGTCACATTACATTAAAAACAGAGGAGTATAGCTGGCAGTACTCAGGAGCCTCTCTCGTGTTTTAATAGGGCCTCCCTGAGACGCCCATTTTCACTGACAAAGTTGTGTTCAGAGTGGCACCGTGGATCATGACACCCAACACCCTTAATCCTGTAGAGGTGTTTGTCTGCAGGTAAGAGCAGACAGATGAATAACAAAGATGCAAAGACAATAGATGTGTCAAAAGGATGTAGTGTCACACATTCTTCTTAATTTTAACTCATACTACCAAAATTAGCGGACACATGAAAATGATGATTCACAGCAACACTAAGTTTCCTTATTCTGGTTTTACATTTGTCATTGTTTTTTATCCAAAAGAATTTGAACAACAATGTTTTTGGTAGAATAAGAAGTAAGAAAAGCTGTTTCGAAGTGACACGAAGATTGCAAAATATGGCTTGATAAAAAGGTCCTCTCTGCCTGCGGTTACCTTCTCAGCACATCTGATAACTACCAGTTCCTTAAAGGAATGAAGAATCTTGTTACAAAGAGCGGGTACAAGCTCAAGATTTGCCATGAGTATGTGAACAGAGGAGATCGCTGGATGCAGGTAAGAAGAACTAATTTGATCTTTGCTTCTCATTCACATCTATACTGTTCGTGGGAAGTACTTCAGTGGCATAGGAGTAAAGAGTGGCTGGTGGTTGGGTTGGCTACATTAACAGTGTCATAGGTTTCATAATCCCCACATTGTGAAATTAAACAGGAAGAAAGTATTATGAGAAACACACTTCTTGTAAAAACCAGCCAGAAAAAGTCAAGTTGGCAACACTGTGATGATTTCATTGGATTTCAAAGCAACCACATCATGAGAAAGAAAAACAAATTAAAGGGAAAATTCTGATTTAAATTCACACAGAAAAAAGACAATTGGATTTTTTAAACATCAGTTAAGTTGCTATTATTATAATCATATGATAAGAAATATAAGGACAGCAGAAATATAACATATACTATTTTTCAGGATGAGCTGGAGTTTGGCTACATCGACTCACCTCATCAACGATTTCCTGTTGTTCTGGATTCCCCTCGAGATGGAAAACTCCTGGACTTTCCATATAATGAGCTACTGGTGAGAGACAGACTCAAATTTCTCTCCTCAGGCGTTTGGAGATACAAAATTCTCATAGTGGCATGATTTTGTGTCTTATCTTGAAGTTCCCCCTCAACTCAGAAATGTGTTTTTTTGTTACTTCACTCCGATGTTTGAGCTTCACTGTGCAGAATGATGCAAGTGCAGTCTGACACTAGAGATATTTTCACATCCATCTGCTGAAGGCGGAACGTTTCTCTGTGCTCGCCATAAATCCGTGTTTAAGACGTGAATGTGCGAGCAGGATTTTCTGACATCACAACTAGTTAAGTATTAGTTTGGAAACCTTCAGTGCACATGGACCGAGAACAAAAAGACTTTTCAGTGAAGTAGTCCAGAAGTTACACTTTTGAAATGAAGAATATTTGCATATATGTTACAGCCATGAAGTAAACATAATGACTCAGCCAGTTGTGACCAGTAACACATCAAGCGGATACCCACACACAGATAGTTTTAAAGAAAAATGCTTTTATTAACAAAATAATGCCATTAACAAAAACAATGGAGTGGGAGATCTGGCCCAAAAGGCCAAAAATAACAAAAGGATGGAGGAAGTGTGGGCCATAGGATCCAGAGCTTCTCCATCAAAACTCTCAAAACACTGTAACTAAACTATAAAAACTAAGAACCAAAAACTGGACTGCCAGACGTCCACCCTCAAAGGATAAAACACAAATATAAGGAGCAAAAGAAGCGGAGAGAGCTCCTGCTTCCTCTAAATATGGCAGGGCCACCAACCAATCATCCTCAAAGAGTAGAGAGGAAAAACTTTAGTATTCATAACGGACATAGATGTAGTTTTATAAAAAGTAAATTTTTTTGCAGAAAAACAGAAATTATTGTTTAAACCTAGAGTATTTTCATATGTCTTCAAAGAATGGATGGGGATTTTTAACCACCTTCATGTCCTCAGGGCCCCGACTTTGGCTATGTGACGAGGGTGGCCGAGAGAAAGGATGTGAGCAGTCTGGACTCATTCGGTAATCTGGAGGTTAGTCCTCCCGTCACTGTGAATGGAAAAAACTACCCCCTGGGCAGAATCCTCATCGGAGTGGCCTTCCCTACGTGAGTTTGCAACAGACCCAGAGATGAGTCCCTGACTTGTAAAGATTATGAATCATTCATATACGAGCAGCTCTTTGTATGATTAATACATCCAGTTCCTTGTTGTAGGCAGAAGATTTGTGAACATACTTGCATTTCTCTCTACTTAAGGGCAACTAAAGGACGGAACATGACCAAAGTAGTTCAAGACTTCTTGTGGGCTCAGAAGGTTCAGGAGCCCATCGCCTTATTTTCTGACTGGCTCCTTGTCGGCCACATTGATGAATTCATGACCTTTGTTCCTGCACCTGACAGAAAGGTATTATTCCCTTTTAAACAGAAACCACTTAAACTGCTGATCTGAAATATACAATAGAAGACAGGAAGCTGTTAGCTGTTGCAGGTTGATACTGACATTGTAGGATTGTGTAAGCTCTCAGGATATGAGGCAGCCAGTGTTATCTTTGTCTGTTGTGCTTCTGTACACAGGGCTTCCGGCTGCTGCTGGCCAGCCCAGACGCAGGCTACAAACTATTCAGAGGCTTACAGAAGGATGGACACGGACAAGCCAAACTGTTTGAGGGTAGGCCTGTCTTTAACAATATTATCCGTGGAAAATCAACTGTAATCTACAAAGTCCTCATATAATTCTTAGCACTCACCATGTAAAACTCTTCCAAAAAGGTCTGAAAGATGAAGAGCCGATAACAGTGGATGATATACTCAGTCATGACAGTTTCCAAGCTGAAAATAACTATGTGCAGGTGAGTAGGATTTGTTAGGTTAGACTCAAGCCCAGAAAAGGATGATGAAAGACTGGTTCAATCTGTGAAAATCACAAACCACAAAATTTGGCTTCGTGTTGGTGATGTTCCGTAATCTGCACTGTATGGCCAAAGGTATGTGGGCAGCCTTTGATACACTGCTATAACAGCCTCTGCTCTATAGGAAGACTTTCCACAGGCTGCAGGGATTTTCTCCCAGTTCGACTTCCCTCATTTCCAAATTATTCATACACAGTGTGCTTTACGTAGTCTGTTTGTGTAGCCTACTGCTTCACGATGAGCTGTTTTTTCTTACTTGTTTGCACTTTACTGGAACAGCAGACATTTAACAAACTGTCTCATTGGACAGATGGCATCCTATAAAGTTCCCGTGCTCTTCAGTGTAACACACAGTGTTAGCGAGTAGGAGTGCCCATATACTTTCGTCCACACATAAAAGATAATCTTGAGATAAAATGATGAGCTAATGAGCAAAAGTTAGTTTTAAAACGTGCCTGTTGCGCAGTATGTGGAATGGATGAAGTCTTTTTAACTACCTGCCCAGAGCTGCATCGACTGGAACAGGGATGTCCTGAAGAGAGAGCTGGGCCTCGACGAAGATGACATCATTGACCTGCCAATCCTCTTTAAATTGGAGGTGGAGGAGGACAAGACGTACAGAGCAGTGGCTTTCTACCCTGACATGGTGTGTTAATCTTCCAATCATTGTTTCCAGTTTAAGAGACATTAAAAGCACTCATCAGGTAGAAATACGATGCAGGTAAATCAAGGAGCTGATAGCACCGCCGTGAGTCTCTTGATCTGACATGTGTTTCCAGGTAAACATGATCGTCTTGGGGAAAAACCTCGGCATCCCAAAGCCCTTCGGTCCCAAGGTGAATGGACGCTGTGCCCTGGAGGCTGAGATGTGCTGCCTGATGGAGGGCCTGGGCCTCAGCTGCACGTTCATCGACGACTTTGCCTCCTACCACAAACTGCTGGGAGAGGTGCACTGCGGCTCCAACGTCCTCAGGGAACCGTTTGCCTTCAAGTGGTGGAACCTGGAGATGTGAATGGAAACCGAACAGTGGGTAGAGATGGCATGTTGAGGCAGAAAGATGGGTTGTTTCTGAAACAATTTTCACGCCAAAAAAAAGGGCACCTTGGGTTAGCTTTAAGTTGGATATTTCTCTTGTCAAAGCCTTACATTATCTCTCTGCCTTAAAATCATGAAATGCTTAATTTTCTTATCAATCATTTTGGAATATGTGCCTTTTTCTCCCAAATAATGTATGCCTCATTTACATGCAAAAACACTTGCACAGGGGTTTGGTCTATTGTATGCGTCTTCATCTTTATTAAACATTTTTGTTGGCTTTATTTACAAAAAAGGATGAAAAGCAATATTTACAAACAAGTCTTTTGAACAAGGGCTTAAGCAGACTCTTTACAAGAACAAAAATACAATCATTTGAATTGAGTACATAGAGGATTCGCTCCCAATCTTGTTGTGGTTTAGACCGGCTGTTGGCATACAGTGCAAGCACAGTTAGATGAATGGTACCACATAGTGATGTGCTATAATAATACAGAGCCACAAGAGGGCGTACTTTAACCACTCAAGCATTTCCAAAGTCCAGAGGAAAATCATTTTAAATGATCTTTCCATAAATCAATTTAAAAGGCTGTACAATACACACACAAATGTGTAATAATTACAGAAAAAGCTCTTTCTATATTTTTTTCCTATGCAATTTTTCAAATGCAAAAAGTTACTTTGTTCTTATTTGTAGCTATAAACAGCTTGGTGAATGCAGTATAGAGGCTGTTTTGCTTTTGGTCCAGTGTCTTAAAACTTTTGTACTTTAACAAACTGTAAATTCTGTCATTAATTCACTATAGACAATAAAACTCATGTCCGCTTCAGTCACATCACTGAAATAAAACAACTCTATGTATCAATTCTTTCCTTCATAAGACCTGAAAAAAGCTTCTCTGCTCAGGAGAGGTGAGCTGTTTCACACTCTAGTTTACTGTGGTCAGGAGTCAACAAAATATCACCATTCATTGGAACAGATTATGAACAAATAAATGCATATCTGCCTATAGTTTTACATTCAGTTGCCAGCTGGCAACGCAGTGCCTTTAAGTATGACCATCTTCCAAAGCAGCTCACGCGACACAATCATTAGAAAGGCAACTTCAAGACGAATCACAGTGTAATTCTTATTCAGCAACAAATCAGGTTTTTTCAAAAGGTCAGCATTTCGAAATAACTCAAAATCTAGTGCTTGGGTCACGTACATATATTACACTTTACAAATAAAGTAGGAAACTGGCATTTGGCTCTCTATCAGCAATGTGCACTGCATCTGGAGATGTTGGCTGGTTTCAATAAAACACAAATCACAGGGACAACACCTCTATGTCAAGCATGGCACCAGTGTACAAAGGAGAGGTTTTTGGCAAGCAGATTTACACCATGCACAGTACTGTTGTATTGTATACACATACCCGTACACAGACATCAAATCAACAAGTGGTGCGTGACAGAGTATTTGGAGACAAAGGTATAAACATCAGTACCTTTAAGTGTGGATTAAGGATGCATGTTGCTGGTTTGGGTACTACAGTAATTACGTTTTTTTTACTCTAATTATATAGCATCAATAGAGTCTACACTTACGTTAAAATATTTCTTTTTTTCTACAGACTTACAATTAAATTTTGAATTTAAAAATTGCAGATGTATTTTCTGTGGTATATATCACCTTTCACCCACCTCGGAGGAAGGCGCTATTAGAGCCACCAACAACAGCATCACAGAAGTACCCTCCATCAAAAACATGACAGCTTTACCGAAGCTGTCGTAAAACAAGACAAATATCCACTGCAGAATAGTCAGAAGAAGAAGAGTAGATCATCAATAAAACACAAAATGTGGCCCGACAGACAGCCACACACACACACAGCCACACACACACACACACACACACACACACACACACACACACACACACACGGTACATCAAAGTTTAACCCATGTACAACATATCACAGTGGGATGTGAGGTTGACAAAAAAAAACATTTTCCTCTCTAGTGCAACTCTTCTCTCTACAGACCCAGTTTCACTGTTTCACACTCTAAACTCCAGTTTTTTGGATCAGCCTTCATTTCTTTACCACTCTTTATGTCGCAAGATTAAAACCCTGTTCAAATCCTCATCTTTTAAAGAGGACATACAACATTTGAGTGTTACAGTAAGAATTCATAGCTTACTGGCCTGAAGAATGAGCAGCCAGACTTATTCGTCTAAGCCAGCTGACAAATGAGTCAGTAGTGATGCTGCATGGGTGCGGAGGTCTCATGTCGTTTGCCTTGACCATTCAAGGAGGGTCCCACACAGAGCTGGAATGAGGGCGATAGGTAGGTACATGTCCATGGAGCTGGGTGTCTGTCGTGACAGGCAGCAGATCCATGCCAAACTTACAAAGGAAGATCTGTCAGTCTCTTGATCTGGCTTCTAACTCTGCTCCTCTTCTGCATCAGGGGTGTAGTTCACATGCCCTTGGCTTGTTTTTGGCAAAAGATGCCTCTTATGGGGATGCTGAGACAAAGGAGAAGAAATGTGAGGGATTGACAAAGTAGAAGCAGATGAATGAGTGGTTAAAAGAGAGGGAAATAAATCTTTATAGTCACACAGTCCTTAAGTAGCCCCAAAATTATTTAAACATTATGTCTAACCTGAAGATGTCGATGTAGTGATCACGGGAGAGTGGCTAACAGTTCTGCAAACAGACATGGAGAGATGATAGCACGGTTATATATATATATATATATATATATATATATATATATATTTATTTTGGGGGCTTTTATTGCCTTTATGATAGAGACAGCTGAAGTTAGACAGGAAAGGGGGACAGAGAGAGCGGATGACATGCAGCAAAGGGCCGCAGGTCGGATTCGAACCCTGGGCCGCTGCAGCAAGGACTCAGCCTCAATACATGGGTCGCCAGCTCTACCCACTAACCGGGCGCCCAGTACGGTTAATATTGACAACAGATGACCTGCAACAACACAAAATATCAGAGTAGGGCTGCAACTATTTGTGTTATTGATTAATCTGTCTATTCTATTATCAGCCATGCTAGCGGCATGGTTTTACGGATGGCAATGTCGGTCTGCATCTTAGTCTACCAATTTAGTCCTGAATGAGACAACTATTGGATGGATTCTTTTTTTCAGACATTCATCCTCCCCAGAAGATGTACCTTGTATTGTATTGACCTTGGTGATCCCCTAATATTTCCTCTTGGGCCCCCAGGAGGTTCACATTCACTGTTTAGGATAAGATTTGGTACAGACAATCATGTCCCCCTCAGGAGAAATTGTAATAACTTTAGCGACTCCTTAACTTTTAATCTAGCTGTTCATCTGTCCAATACTTTTTACCAGATACTACTAAATGAATGGGATTCCCAAAAGCCTCAGCTGTAGTTTGTGTTTAGTGCTAATTACTATATATTAAGATATTCTCATACTACTAGATGATGAACATTATACCTGCTAAACATCAGTCCGTTGGCACTGTTATTGTGAGGATTTTAGCAGGGTGACATTGACATCAAGGCACTGCTGTAAATCACAATCTCCCAAACCTTAAGGTGACATCTTCAAAACCCAAAGATATCACACAAAACCAAAATAAATATGTACATTTTCTCTAGAAATAGTGACTATTTGATCTTTTTACTCCTTAAACAATTCATCAGAAGGAATATTCTTTCAAGTGACTTTGCGCCATCTGAGTGTCACCCAATGACTGATGCACAGGAGTTTTTTCTCACCGATGAGAACTTGTGCTCCTGCGAGGAACGCTCTGTCTTGGGCTGGCTGTCTGTCCCTTTTGGCTCTGATGTCTTCACTCCGTCCGGTTGCTGCTGAAGATGAGAAGCTGCTGGGAGGGAGGCAACAGATGTGTGGCTGTCATGGTTAATAAACTCATGCATATAATGCTGCCAGCTGTTCTAGCCAAAAAAAAGAATAAGCATGCAAAAGATTAATGGATCAGAGTGAACCATTAGTGAAAACGGAGCATAACAGAAGTTGTGTGGGAATCACAGATAAGTTTGCAATGCTGTAGTTTTTAGGCATAGTAAACTTTATTCATTAAGGAAGAGAGTGCTAATTCACACAGACTTTGCCTTCTGTTGCTGGCAGTGAGCTCCACTGGTGCAGCTAAGGTGAATCACTCTACGGGGCCCCAATATTAATTGCTCAGGAAGCGGAGAGTGTTATTCTTACATCTGCCCCATCTAGATCTTCCCAAGATACTCTGGATATGCGAAACAGTCGACCTTTGGTAACTTGCCTGCTTCTCACACCCTCAGGCTATCACTGACCCAGTAATATGATCCCTTTACTCCTAAACTCACCTGGAAAACTTCCCTGGCTGGTACTGCATGCACTGTCCTCCACCGAAGAGCTGTACACAAATGAGTCTCTCTTGAGTGGTGTAACACAAGACACACTTTCCTGTAAGAGGGGTAAAGGAGTTTAGAAATATTTCCCCTTTTTTACCAACAAACAAGGACAAGAAAGACAGAATAATCATATTTTCAATCAATATTTACATTTGCATTTTCTCGTCTGTTGTGTGTAAAGTGAAAGAAATAGATAAACACATTAATGTGTATTACTATGCAATACATTTTCAGATATGTCATTACTGGGATATAATGAAATACATCAAACTTCTCACATCACAAGATTATTCTTTCCCCACAGTAAAAGACAAATGTTAATGAAACCATAAATGTGTCATCAGCTGTAAGAAGTTGTTCTGCTGTTTTGGTTTTGGGAAGTGTAAATGTGTGAACTTTCATTATGTGTGTTATCATCATCTCCACCCACCAGTCCAGTGTCGTACTCCTCCTCTGCCTCATGCTCCTCCACTACGCTGGCAAAGCTGCTGGCATTGGAGGAGGAGCGGGAAAGGTCCTGAGCCTCGGGGATGGACGCTGCCCTGCAACACATGGCCAAACTACACACCTGGGTCACTCTGACCGCTCAAACACCTGTGTTTTTCATATGCTGAATTTAGTGAGGCAGCACAATCAAAACTTTATTTTTCTTGTGTTTTTGTATTTCTTGCTTTTCCTTCCAAACATCTGATTAATTAATCATATTCATTTCACAGCACCTCCGGTAGCAGTGTGTTTGCATCCTTGCCAGGTAGCATAATCTTTTGAGCTGTTTTGGAGTTATTGCAACCCTCTAAATTAGCTATGTCTAGGGCTTGGAAATACTTACCAAAGGTACATGGTATATCGCATACCAACAACAAACAAATAAGTTCAAATGCAGCCTTTAAGACACAATAAAACAAAGTTAAATTTATATCATGCCAGTATTATAATCATACATATCTTGTCTCATATCAGCTTTCCTCCATGCACCTTAATACATTTCTCTCATTTAAATGTACTCTATTTTATTAAATATATCAATATTGTATATATTACATACAACATCACAGTCAATCATTCTACTGTTTCCTGTATTTTGTCTGAACTACACACCTGTATACATTCTATCAAACAGGGGACTCCTGCAGAAGAAGAAGAGTATTGCATTTTACAAGCCATGGTGTTGTAGCAACAACAACCAAACACAGATACTGTGAAAATGATAATGTGTATTAGGCGGCTTGTTTCAATAAAATGGCTAGAGAGGCTTACGACTATGACTATGAGGGTTAATCGTCCATGTAATATAGTTGCTGTTTCAATCTACAGTATACAAATGCATCCCTATCCACCCATCCAAGGCATCAATCATCACAAAGAACTTCTCAATGTGTGCAATATAATATGGTATATTATTGAATTTAAGTAATAGTCACCTGTTCTTAGTAGCAGGAAATTCTGGAGAACTGTGATTGGAGGAGTTGTCTGATCTGTTTTCCTGTGAGAAGTGGCTGCAGTCTGGTGTCCTCTGGGTGCTGGGAGACACCTCCCGGCTTCAGGACAGGGATGGAGATTGACACATGACATTACAGTAAGTTTACTTATATCGTATGATCATAAGACATCAGACAAACGCCTGATGAATGTTATAACAAATTCATAACATCTCAACATGCTTTGTAAGGTACGAAGAAGTGGCCTTTAATTGACATTTTTCACTTATTAAAGAGACAAACCGATTAACTGCTGCATCACAAATATTACATGAAGTGAACGGTCCCATTTTAATCAAGAGGGACCTGGATGCAGACAGAAAGAGCGGCCATGGAGACAGACATCTTGGATCTCCTCAAGAGGCACCTCTGCAGTAAATCACGTGACCTCCGCGGCAGGAGTCGGTCTTCTCTGTGTCGTTTGCGTGTGAACATTTGCATTGCCGGGCTTAATCACTGTAACACATCACTGGAAGTTCCTCTCCATTTGAATGAACCCATGACACCACGCAGACTGGCAAAGTGGATTTCAAGGTCAGGACAATGCAGAAACTGTCAGAGCGCTGCTTGTGGCGGATGTTGTGGTGCCACAAAAATAGCGCTTAAGCCTTACACACAGTAACAACTCAATTAATATTCAAGCATATGCCATGAGGGTGTTAAGAATCTTCTGTAGAGTTGTTACAACCTAGAATTCATGTAAAATCATAGTTATGTTAATCAAAACACAACAAATATATTAAAGCATTGATAACCCCCCTCCTCTCGATCAGAACTGACAGCCAACAAGAGTTGGTATCTTAACAGTGTATCTCCTAATGGCTGATTTCCTCATTTTAATGTCCTTGCTTCCATCTGTTGCAACACTATTCTCTCTTCACTACCCACTCCCTGCTGATCAGCTCTGCTCTCTCCTCTCACCTCCTCTCTTGGACCTCCTGGATGTTCTCGATGCCAATGGCGCTGCTGCGACGGGAGCTGAAGGGCCCAGACTTTTTCCTGGTTGGGCTTTTCCCAGGAATGATCAATGACTGACAGTGGGTAGGGAGAGGAAAGTTAGACACACACCATGGGGACAGAATAACCATTTCACAAGCACAGCATAAATTATACTCAGTACATGACACAGTAGGCTACTGAAGTCAGACAGATATCTACATGTAGAAATATGCTGTGAAGGAATAATGAACTGATGGTTTGATAACTCCTGAGATGACGTAATGACACATTTGGAAACATGTTTTACAAAAATTGGCTTCAGGCAGGAAGTGATTCTATATTTTATATTCTATTATTTTGATTCTTGATTGAATCTTATGTCTGATGAAAAAAAAGTTTGTATCATCTCTCTGCCTTATAGCCTCCTGTTGGGTGTTCTGTTTGATAGTTATTTTAAGTACTGAGGTCAGACTGTGGAGTTAACTTGTTCAAATTTCAAAATGTCTCGTAAACATGTCTAATTTAAGATGCAGTATGATTCATCAATGAGTGGCTGTGAATAAGAACATAAGTGGGTGTCTGATTACAATTTTCTTTTCTGAACTCCATACTTTTCTTTTAGTTTTTAAGAACAAATCTTAAAGGAAAATAAAGTAAAGAAAATCCTTGCATTAGGTCCTGGGATCGGCTGCAATGAGATGCAAAACATAAATCAAGAAAATGCATCTGAAATGAAATCATCTACATGGACATCTGTTTACATTACAGGAAGCATTTGTAATAAGATAAATGAGCTATAAGCCCTCAGTCTATGATGGATCATCCCCTTTCAGCCACACTGTATACATTAGCTGCTGTATGGATGAGTGAAATGAATGAAATTATAATTGAAACCATAACGAAACAAATGTCACTGTAACTTATTACACCTATATATCCGAAAATCGCTCACAGCCATGAGAACTAAAACAGGCACATTTTAAACTATAAACTACTAACTGCACACTTAAATTACGAAAAGACAAGACTAGCAAAGACCAGAGACAAAAATAGTAAAAAAAGGGATAAATATACATGAACCTCTTCTATTGTTCCTATCCCTATGGCACTGCCTCGGCGTCCATATTTACTGGGACTTTTCCCTGGAACAAGCAATGACTGAGCCACACAAGACAGGGCAAGGGGAGCACAGAGGGAGAGGAGACGATAGATTGAAAAAGCAAGAGGGGGAAAGAAAAGAAAAAGAACACATCATAAGATTTCATGCGCACAGCACAAAGATTTCAAACAGCAAGGTGCAAAAGAGCTTGAAAAGGAGCTCGCAGCATGACTTAATAGACAAGACACGATATTAAGGAAATAGTGAGAAGCTTTTTAGAGCAAAAGCAGGCTGGGGTCCAACATAGGAGGGCACAGCAGGAGATGGAGTGCCACCGAGGTAGCAGGCATGTCGGCAGTTTCTGCCCTGAGGGATACAGGTCTGTTTAGTGATGCATTCAGAAGGAGAAAAGGGCAATGCGGGCGGACAAAATCCAAAGGTAGCTTTTAGAAAACTTAGTCCTTTCAGAAACAGGGGTTAATTCCGTTCAAGTTCAAAACACTGTCATTAACCGAATCCAATGAATGTCAAACAAATTGAAACACGATTAACCTAATTTTTAAGACGGAACAAGGCAGCGTGCAGTGTGCTGTACTTGCATTTATGGCTTGTGCCATGCATACTCTGCAGCCACACATGCACATACAAAGACTGCGTAGAGAAGTTGTAACATTAACAGGAGGAAACAGTCATGACAAAGGCACAGCAAGGAGGGAGGGAGTCTGGGTAGTCATACAGCTGCTACATTGAGCTCACTTCAAGACTCTAAAAAAAACTACACTGGGGCTCACAAGCAATCAGAGTTATCTTGCACTGAGAAGGAAATCATCAGATCCATTCCACAATGGATAGTCTATTTTTAACATCTAACTGTCACTCTATGTGGTGATGAAGATTCTGTCAACAGATGAAAATGAATGAAATACTGACAATGAGTTATGCTGTTAATTTTCCAAACAAAAAGACTAGTCATTAACAGGAACACATATGAGCATAAATGGAAAAAGGCAATCAGTGAAAGCTGCTTGAGAACAAAGCAAGAGTGAATTTAAAATATCATGAATGAAAGCGAGTGATTTGATGGTAACATACTGATGAAAGTAAAGTGCTACAATGTGCCAACAGGAGTAATTTGCTAAAGTACTGCATATAAGAAAGAATAGGGGTTAGACCAGTCTGTATTTGTATGAAGCCATTGTGCTGGTGAATGGTGAAAAATGTACTGTATCCTCTATGTATGTGTTAGGTGGGCATCGTGAACCAAAATGGGCTACTTACAATCCCTGGGGTTTTGGGGCTCTCTGCGGGATTATGGGTAAAGCTGCCACTGTGACTAGTGGAGACTGTGTGTGACTTCTTGTTACTGAGGCCCATGGCGTCCATAGACTGGCTTCTGCTGCGGATGACCCGCTACAGAGAGAAACGAGGAGATACTGTCAGTGGATCCACTTTGATTTTATGTGGAAACGCAACACACTGACCGATTTTCCAAAGCATTATCTACCACATATATGTGACTCTATACTCAAACCAAGTCCAAATTATGCCAGTTTCAAAAATTGACCAATATATGGATATTAGTAATGCTTTGCTAATACACAGATTAGTTCTGTGTATTAGGTACACAGAGTGTATGTTTTAATTATGCTGAATTTTCAGAACATTTGGTAGCATTAGGCCTTTTTCACAGAAGACAGGTGTACGCAAACTGCTTCATTTTTCAGGGTCCTGGTGCATGCAAGCTCACTGTCACACTGTCACAGCTTACTGGGACACTTGAATAGAACTGAGCCCTCATTAATGGTATTAGTAGCACCAGTACTTTTCCTACTATGACATGTCAAAATGTCTGCTGTGACAAAGGCCTATCACTAATATATTTAGTAATATGTACCTTTACTGTATTACATATACAGATGTATTTCATACATTGTCAGAGTTCTGACAAATGTTAACTTTTTATAATAGCTTTGCTCCAATCCTTTTCTGACAAAGGCTAATTTGTCATATTGTCAATATGACTACATGCTGGTGTATATCATATTAGACTAAGTTTACATTTCTGAGGGAACAAATGTGTGTATATGGATTTGTGTGTACACATGAACTCACAGTGGTTTGTGCTTACATGTGCATATGCATGTTTGTATGCAGGACTATTTTTGAACACTTAGGGGCAGTGCAGGTCAACAGGCAGGAGGGAGGGAGAGGCTGCATTAAAGAAATGTAGGTTCACAGCAGGTCGAGGAGAGTGTAGGCTTTGTGGTGGAGGTGGATGAAGCCGCATCTCTTCTCTCCAAAGTCGTCATGTAACGGGAAAATCTATCTATAGTGGGGTTTTGTGTCATGGGAGGGGACGATGAGACACAGTGTGAGCAAGGAAGGCAGAGAGAGACAGTAGGAGAGACAGCAGGACAGCAGAATCTACACAACTAGACAGAAGCAGAGAGAAAGAGTAGGGAATCTTTGCGGATTTAATTTGTGGAGGTGTAAGGGAGAGGAAGAGAGGCAACACTATGCTCTCTCGACAGGTAGAAAGACAGGATTTGCAGGCAGGAGTACATTTATACGGATGAAGTGTATGAAGGAATGGAAAGGAGACGCATCTAAAGAGACAATACAGACTGAGAGAAAGGTGGATTTATCTGTCTTAAGTTTCATGGAAATATAGAAAAGATGGACGAGAACTAGTCGGCGACACAGAGAGAAGAGAAAAACAGCAAGGGAACGCTGCCCATGGGGGGACATGCAAACTGCATCATCAGCTCCCTAATGAGGGTTCATTAAATCGTTCATCAGGCACACACAATCACAGCTCCTACCGCCGTGCCTCAGTGGCTGGGCTACGCTCCACCACCCTAATGGTCATTGATGGAGTACTTTCAGTCAGAGCAGAGAAGTGCCTTTCGTACACAACAGGACGCTCCCCAGCCTCAAAACCACACCATCACGTGAAAACACACCAAGTTCAGCAGTCGCAGCCAAGTGAGGAAATCAAATGCCACAGAACTGGTCCTTTGAGATACTGCAAATTTTCTATGCTTTGTTTTCTCATGTGTGAATACCCAGAATCCCAGCCAAGAGACAGGGGAGGGGGAAAAAAAGCATCCTAAAAGTTTCCTACTCAGAACCATTCTCTCTCATGCATGTGGAGTTGCAGATTAACAGCGCGCCTCATCAAATGAGGGACGGGGCTGTACCTTAAAGGATTCAAAGAAGCCTCCTCCTCCTCCGCCTCCTCCGCCCCCGTTCTCCAGCTTATCTTCGTCTCCACCCAGACCCATCATGGACTGGCTGTTAATGTGCAGCTCCTCATAGAGAGTCTCCAACAGGGCTGAACGTGTGCGCTCCTGAAAACAACAACACAGTCCGTTTGCACAGGTACTGACAGTAACTATAAAATATGAAATTTGAGTTTGTTCATCAATTGAAATGAAGGGATATGGCTACCACTTATTCGACAGCACCGCATCAGTATGATAGACATCAGCACTAGTGCTCATTTGCATCAGGGCTGTTGTTCGAGAAGGATTAGATGACGATAAATCTATGTGTTCACTTCAAATCACAATACAGCCAGCAGGATGCACACCTATGCGAACTGGCATGTGCTCAGGTATTCACACATATACACACACTACAGGTATTCACACGGCGCAGATTGCGTCGCAACACTCTTCTCACCTCAAGCTTAGCAAACTTCTCAGCTTTGTAGCAGGCATACTCTGCATTGATGAGCTTGGTAAACAGGAACTCACGAAACTCATGGCCCTGAGGAAGGCAGACATAGAGAAGAATGGTTTATGACGTCTGCTTGTAAAGGGGAATTGAGTTTATGAATTTTTGTGACTGCTGACCTTTTTGAAGATGGCAGGGTCAGGCAGGGCAGGCCCAAAGAAAGGTACGTCATCACGCGCTGTCACAGACACCTGTAGGAGAAAGCAGGTCAGCACAGTCTATGATACAGTGATAGACGATACACATGCCCCTTTTTAAGGCCATACAGTAGTATAAAACTCTTGAATAATGTATGAGTGAATTTAAATTTGGATTTCACTGGTGAGACGTTTTTGCTACAGTATTGGCTGTCCTCAAAACCAACCTTGTAGGTGACATTATCCGTGCATGCATTCTCCACCTGCACCACCACATACGCATGCAGGAAGTTGGACTGGATCATGTCTGGTACAAAGGGCGTGTTCTCTTCCTGGAACACGATGGCCACAATGTCGTTGCCTATGTGCCTCTTCCTCTGCAGCTGGATGGCACAGATAAACAAAACTAACAACAGTGGAAACATCTCAAATAACCAGTTAGAGAATCAAAAACACAGACCCGTCACAGAATCACTTCCAGGACTCTCACTGAGAATCAAGATTGACTGAGAATAAATATAGTCCCAGCAAAGAGGTGGACATGACTTTGATCTAAGAGCTCAACCTCTTCCCTTAGATGTATGACAACCTAGTATTACACAACTATCAGCCAAAAAAAATGAAATGTGTATGTCTGTAATCTTGAAGCTTGTGCTTACGTATCCATATCCGAATTTATTACAAGAATGAAATACATACACAAAAAATAGTATAACTCATGGATGTGCATAACATCTATGAAAGTGTATACTGACCTATACACCTAGCTTTCAAAATTATTAAAGGGGTGGAAATGAATTAATCTGAATACCAATCAAGGAACAGCAAAGTCAAACAAAAATGGTTTATGATTCTGCAGATGGCTGACAGTGACCCAAAACATCGCTGCTGAAGAGTTGCATTTTCCTTGTTGCCAAAACGCTTACAAGTTGCCAAAAGGACACTCGTGCAATTGGAGGGCAAAGTGACAGTGCCCAAATATAACATTTTTATCCAAGCAATATCTTTTAAAAGTCTTGGTGCTGCCAAGTGTTAGGGACACCTTCTTCCTGTGCCTGAATATGAATCTATGTTGTCACATCCTTGCCTTTTGCTAGGAACTCTAATTTGGACCTGCAAGGTCCTAGAAATATCAGAGAAAATGTGACTTTGTTCCACTTCTTGTGAAAATTCCTCAAAGTACAAACATGGTAACATATGCGTAATTAGAATTTTGCAGTAGATGGGGTAAATTTCCTGTTTGAGACTAGATACTGTCCCAGAAATGTCTTAGCAAAGAGTAAAATACTCGAATGGAAATACATCCTTATCATTCAGACACTGTGACCCAAACCATTCTACAGAATGTAAGTAGAAGCAAATATATCAGATTTAGTAAACAGTTACAGGTTGGTGAAAAATAGAAATCCTTTAGTCAAAAATATAGATAGACCCAGCTCCCATGTTCCTCCTCAGTTGCCTCAACAGTGTGATACGAGTGCTGCAGCATTTGTTGATGACACTCTGTCAGTCATCACGCTATTTAAACACACTTAAGTACACACTTAACAAAGCCACTTCACACGTGTTGCTATTACCTAGTGTTAGCTGGAGCTGCTCTAAAATATCTCAAGAGTTGACCAATTGTGTGCACAGTAAATATTTACTCTGGGATTTATAGATGATTCTTTTCCAGTTAGCAGTCCAATTACTCTACAGACTGTGTCCGCTAAAGACAGTCTTTTTGTTCACATGAGAACAATCAACCATCTGTTTCAAGCCCTGGTAAAGCTTTCATAATTTGCTGAAGTCAGAACAGTATGCAAGTTGTAATTGCTAGATAGTATCTGAATGCAGCACTTCTAAACACAGGTTTCAGAGCAAAATAACACACAATTTTTGACATAAGTGACCAGTAAGTAGTAGAGAAAACAACCTGACCATATTTGATTTATTTAAAGATTAAAGTTTTAGTTATATCTTTGTTAAGACATATTTTTAAGACAGTGAAGGCTGGGAGTGAAAAGATCCATGTGGCTACAGAGGCAGGGCAGCCAGGTTACTACTGCATCATCCCTGAGCTTATGAGCTGTCAGCTTTAATATTTACACACACAGGGACATTCATCCCTCTTTCTCTATGAAGATGGACTCCCCCACTCACCACAGACAGTTAGACACTTAAAAATAAACTCAGCAAGTGTGGGGCTGGACAGAGACACCTGAAACCTGTAAATATAATATATTTATAGACATTCAGTTAGATCTATTTACAATAATTCTGCACTTTCTCCCTCCTAAATTAATCCTATGTTATAACAGTTGCACCTTGCCTCCTTTTCTTGACTTCCCTCATGAATCATACCACGTGGGTGTTGTTTATGTCCTATGTTTCTATTCATGCCAAGGCAATATGGACAGTCTGTGTCAGGGTTACTATGGTAACAACGTTCAACCACTGTATGAGGCAGTGAAGAGCAGCTGAAGACTACTGCAGCTTACAGCAACATGGCATCAAAGAGATGAAAGTCTCCGGCCACAAAGCAACAGCAGATAAACTTCAATGCCAGTGCAGAGCACTGCAATGCTAGTGGATCCTCAACATTTTTACTCTTGGACGCCAGGGTAAGCGAGGACATCAGATCTGCAAACCTAAACACTGGTAAGCAAGTAAAGTTTTCTAAGAAAAGGAAGGTTTTTAGATATTCACATTCATTTGTTAAAGGGATAGTTCAACATTTAGGGATATATATGTTTATTTTTCTTTCTTGCTGTGAATTAGATTAATACCATGGATTAATATCACTGTTGTGTCAGTACAGTAAATATCAAGGTACCCTCACCAGCCAATTAGCTTAGCTTAGCACAAAGACTGGAAACAGCTAGCTCTGTCCAAGGTAGCAAAATCAGCTTACCAGCACCTATCACGCTCACTAATTGACATGTTATATCTTGTTTGTTTAGTCTGTTTGTTTAGTCTTTTTTAGAAAAAAAAAAGACAATTTGTACAGGGCTGGCTAAGAAATAGTCCTGCATACCGTAAACTATGTGTCTCACTTCATCAACATTAACTTAAAAGATCTTAATCTGGATTTTACAGTCCTGACCTATTAGCTGCTGCTGCTGCAGTCGGACACATGGAGAAGTCACAAGGAGAGGCCATTACAAATCAGTTAGTAAAGGACAATGAAAACTGCCCTGAAAATACAAATTAGTTATCCTGATGATTAATCATTGGAATGTCACCATACCTGCTGTGAGTCTCCCTCTGTGTAAGGCAGCTTGGTGGACACATGAAACATAATCTCCTTATTATGGAAACTTGTGTAGACAGATTCTGTCCCTGTCTGCCCATGAGTGACATCCAGCCCACCCCGAAACCTGGAGAAGAAAAGGAGAAGAAGAAAGAGGGGATTAAAGGGCAAAGGTAAGAAAAAAGAGAGAGCAGAAAAACAAGGGGGAAAAAATTAAGTAAAGGCAAAGAGAGGATTGAGGTGAACAGTCAAGAGGAAGACAGAAGAGAGACAAAGCGGTGTTAGGAGTGGAACATAAGAGCGTGCTCTCAGAGCACCCGGTCCATCCACGCTCATCCATCATTGAGGGAATGCCAAGGGCACTTTGCCTGCCTCCTCAATCACAATGTCAGCAACACTACAAATATCACGACACTCTAAATCGCTTTTTCAGGGATTCATTTAAAGCCAACCCTGATCAATTTGCAAAGTGAATGATGGCCTGTTTCTGACAGACATGAGGTGGAACACTATGCTGAGAATTAACCAAAAGTGCTGCTGAGAAAACTGAATAAAATTGAACTGAAAAGTGTCCAAACCCTTTAAAGTCATGAAGCTCAATCTTGTGGCCCAGAAACTCCAACAACTCAACAAAGGCCGGACTTTCTTCCATGTTCCCAAACAGCTCTTCCTCTGATGTCTGAGTGGAGGAAGCACAGGACATTTTCAGAAGGAGTGACACATGACTTTAAAAGCAAAGATTAGCAGTAGTATCTCTGTAGCACACTCACCTGGCCAAACTTTTGATAAATAACCCCAAACTTGAAGTTGTTGCTGATCACATGCTCATCAAAGGTCACAATAAGCCTTGATGCCTGAGGATGAGAGAATAGGAAGTGTTCATTTAGGTTCTTGTAGATGTGGTGTTGAAGGATAAAGTGATATTTGGAAAAATCACAATGAACACTAGTGAATACCTTTGGGTATAGGACAGGATAAAACCTATCCACATTTACTTCTTCACAAACAAGCTGTAAGTGGAAAAAGTATATTCAGTTTTTCTCATTACAAACATATACTGAAATGTTGTTTTATGACTCTGTCAATGTTCTGTGCCATACCTTGGCCATCTGAACCACATTGGGGAACTCGGTAAGGCAGGAAATGGGAATCACATCATGGTAGGTTTTTAGCTTTGTGCTGAAAGGCAAACAATTTGAAAAGTTGAAATGCTCATTGTTAGCTTACTGATACAAAAGCAATACGCCTGCTTTCATGATTTCTTTCTTTGATGCCTCATGCAACTGCATTTCCATTTCAAAGGGGACCTTTCTTATGGATGCTGTGTGGCGCTGGGAGCATTATGGTTTTTACATGTGATGTGTTTGAAGAAAGATGGACTAAGAGAGGGTTGAATGGGCATCACTGTTTTTAAGAGGGTCCCTGCTATCCACAACGTGTGTTATAAAGTGATCCATGTCTAGAAAATTGGTGTTTTAATAGCTACATTACTGGGATAACTCCTACTACTGTTCACTTCCTTGTTGCCCCTAAAGCATCACAATACAATAGCCACAACTGTGAATTAGTGATTTAGTGAATTGATATTTAGAGAAAACATTTCTAGGCAACAAGCAAATAATAACTGACTGTTTGCCAAGCCCCTCCCCTGACCAGCAACTGTTTGTTTAGCTAAGCAACCATAAACTGGCGGGCCTGTTACGCCTTGTGTTTCTCCAAATGCTAAAGCCGTGTGCATGGAGGGTTGGTGTGCATGGAGGGTGGTGTCTTTTTTTAGCCTTTCCAAAACCAAAATAGTAAGGAATGGTTTGAAATGTATGTGCTCTAACGAGAGCTGCAATCTTTAGCATGTCTGGATAACTACAGTGACCCGTAGTTACTTCCAAGGCTAGGGGGTACGTCATTAATATAATAAGTGACATTAGTTTGTGGGCTTAAAGGTTTCATTTAAAAATCTCCATTCACAGCAAGCACATCCACTATGCAGTATCTCCACTGTGTGGAAGCTGGTCCTGGATGCTCTCAGACGTTAGGGTAACATAAGCAGTCCTGCTTTTTGCTGGCTGTCAACGTTACCAGAGATAGTGGTACACACATGTTAGGCTTAATCCTAAAAGCTTTTTCTCCTGTAACATCAAAAGTGAAAACATTCTGTTTGACAACAGGAACAAATAGCCTAGTGTGTGTATACTGAGAAGAGAAGAATCAATAACAGACTAATCACAGATTTTTCCTGCAATGTGCAATACAAGAAATATGCTGTTTTATTTATTTCCATGTGCACATGACTCATAAACTGGTGAGGACAGTGTCTTTTAGCACAATATCATCTCTGTTTATTGTTTTAAAATGAGTGAGCGAGAAACATCAAAAAGTCAGCCAGAGACAGCATTTCCAACCAACTCATGGAGCTAATGTTACCTTAATAGGCTAACATCAATGATTGCCATTTGTAAGAAGCTTGCTTTTGTCTCCCTCTGTCTGAAATTAAGGACCAATATATTGTTAAAGTCCTAAAAATGTTGGATGGTTAACTTGCCAGTATTATCATAGAAAACTGCTGTGTGAGAATCAGAAAGCTTATAGTAACTAAGGGGATTGGGGTTTAAATCCTAACAACCTGACATCCTTATGTATGCTAAGGTGTGCTACAGATGCTTTAAATATGGACTGTGAGTCAGTGCCTGTGACTACACTAGCCGAGGTGTCTGTGTTTGGCTGGGGTTGATGGGGTGACTGTGGGTAGTGCCCACCCAGTGGAAAACATCACTATGTGAAAAATGTGGTGGGCCGAGTGACTGTTACCTCGCGACATACTCATCTACTTTAAAGCTCCATTAACAAAGAGGGAATGCAGCTATTAAAATCTGGAGTGGAGTCTCTTGGGTGCTAAAATTAATTCACAGGTTATGTGGTGCATTGAGTTCTGCCTCTCTCCCCCTTGTCTGTCTTTAGCAGAATGTGAGAGAGAAGAGAGCATTTCAGTGAGTGAGCACGAGTTTGGGTGATGGTGGGTGGGACGCATTGCACTTGTACAACAGAGATGAATAGTGCGCTGATTGTTGAGTACTTTGTGGCACAGTTTTCTGAGTCAACATTTATGCAGAGAAACTTGGCTATTTATTCTGTGCCACACCAAACATTTTAACACTTTTATTTATATTCATATTATCACCCAAACTCCCGGAACATTAATTACTGACAAATCTCTGTTGGTCCCTGGTGGGTGTTTTGTTGTGGTTCTATGGACAAAAAAAGAAATTTTCCAAATCTGCGATGGTATTAATATTTCAAAAGATTAGTTGAATTATGAGTATGAATCCTTTTTTTTTTAATAACAGTAATCGTTTAGGAATACATCTATTTCCAGGGTATTTATTGTTATACAGCTGCATATAGGTGAAAAACTAATTTCACCTTAAAAAAAAAAAGACAATTAGCGGCTTCATGAGGAGCAGATGTCCCCAAAACCAGGCGTTATGAAAAAAGATAAGATATAGAAGATAATTAGATTAATAAAAGTTACATTATTTTAAACAGTAGCAGCTTTGCCATTTAACTGAAGATTAAATTGATGAGAAATTGTATTGGGTGCCCTCTGACTGCAGGGGCTTCCAGCAGCACTGCCTATTGTCAGCAATTGAGCTGGAAAATACATTTAAAAACTCATTACTAATGCAACTGCAAGAATTGAGAGGCTTTTCTTGCTCTGTGTCATTTTTTGCTCAAATAAATGCTATTCTTCAGCAAAGTAAAATAATCCATCCATGACAGTCAGCCATGTGTGAAAATATTCTATATGGGACGGTTCTGTTTGAGAGACCTATGAGGAAATGCCAGAAATCACTGCAATACAATTTGAAGCAGGGTTGTTGTGGGTGCAATGCGAGAAAAGGGCCACAGAGAGAGAGAGAGAAACACAGAAAGAGGGAAAATTGATTAAAGGCAATGGACAATTGCAAGGGATATTGCAAAGGAGAAGATTAATAAGGAACACGTGACAAAAAAGCACAAATGGGACAGAAAAGAGGTCAGATATAAAGATAATAGGAGATTGTACCGAAGCATCAAGCGCAGATGCTCTTGATCCCCAATGACATCGTACTTCATGGAAAAGACCAAGTGGCCCAGGGCAGCATCCATGGTGTAATAATTAAAATGTTCCTAGGGGCAGATAAGCAGAAAAAACTTCAATGCAAGAAAGAATATTCCTCCAGCAACTGACAGTGGGTGACACAATAATAAAAAAGGCTATAATAAATTAGAAATGGAGAGGGGTAAGGAGAATAACAGTCTTTTAATTAAGGAAAGTAGCTGAATTACCCTTGAGGAAAAGGTACATTGTATCAACTGAACACAACGCTTAGATGTAAAACAGATATACTGTATTTACAAGTAGGCAATTTGTCTCACAGTTTAGGATCATATAAAATAACATGGTGACATTGAGTATTGATGATCTCACTTTGTGGTTTTTTTTGCTTCATCATTTTGTGAGACAATTCTGTAGTAGTATTGACAGTAAAGGTTTTCAAAGGGAACGCATACTTTTCATGTCACAAGCAACAGTTTTTTTGTCCTCATCTTTTTGCAAGGCCAACATGTTGTAAGTAGTTGGAAAGGTGATTGGAGGATAAATAACCCACACACAGACGAACCCTCACACAAACTCAGATCATTTTTTCTTTGCCTTCACTCCCACTTGACAAAATCTTAAACTGAGCTCTAGAATAGAGGCAAATGTTATTGGAAATTGCCGTAGATGACTAATATCAGGCCAGTAAAAGTAAGAAAACAGAAAACAACCCCCTTTCCCAAACCAAATTCTATATTTCAAGATGGTAATCAATCACTGTCAATACTCTTAGCTGTTTTGTAATGCATAAAACCAGACCCCCATTTTTCTCCATCCTTACCTTTCCCATGAAATGTTTCCTGTAGATCTTGGCGATGCTGTTTGTCTCCAGTTTGATGTGGGAGGCAGGACAGGGCAGTTGATCAGCCTCTGGTGGGTCTTTTGGCTCATGATTGGTCCCCTCAATCCAATATCCTCCAAACTGGGGAAGCAGGATGAGTGGAAAAGGGCTAGTGCGACCCAGAACCTAAAGTGATGGACAATAAAAAGAATTTTGCTTTGTTTTACCTTTTTGAAGCTTTAGCTTTACAGATTCTGACATCTATAAAAAAAAAAATATATATATATATATTTGTACGGAGAGTTCACTGTATGTACCTCATGAACGCTGGGATAAGGGATGTAGTCCTCTTCCGTCTGCAGGCAGGAAACGAATATGAGTCAACCTGACAAACAGCTGCTTCTAGTCATACTTTCAGTTTTGGTTCTTTGAGGAAAATAACAATGAGCATAAACACTGTGACAGAATATTAACTAAGGCATCATCCAGCTCTACATTAGATTTTTCAGGGTTACTTTTCTTATCCTGCCAACATGACAGAGGCCACATTAGTAGCCTTTCCTCTCTAGTGACTACATAACCTGTTTTGTTAGCAAGCAACACTTATCTGAGGCTTCAATCTGCAATTTGCTAAAAGTTGAAATATTTTATAACCTCCTGCGAATCATTTTCGACATGAAAAAGGGACAACAACATAACCTTTCACACAGAAAGTGACTTGGATCCATGTGTTGGTGCTAGAGAAGCTGTAATTTTCAGTTACTGGCAGCTTATGCATGCAGTACTATCTACAACACATAATTAGACATCACATGGCCTATTACATTTCATTTCTAATTTTACCCCTGTTTCTTATTCAGTTATTGTGTCATTTATCTGTGATGTTCGTTTCATTCCTGTAAAAAAAAAAAAAACTGTGACATCATGCTGCAATTTACTTTTTTGGCGAACCCACTTTCCCTCTTGCCTGATATCAGACAGAATTGCCAACTCGATGGAGTGGGCGAATTCGAAGGTCTGCACCCAGGCAACTTTCTCTTAATTTCAGACAGTGATTTTCTCCATTTCCAGAAAAATGCCTTTCAACAACCCGTGCAGAGAATGCCCGTACTTGTTCCATTACAAGTTATAGGCTGTGTCAGATCTGAGAGCAATAGCAAAGAGGCATGTGTGTATTTACGTATATATGTGGTTATCGAGACATTTGGATTAAAAATAGTAATGTCAAACACATGGTGGCGCTAGAGGAAAAGTCAGCGGATCACCCAGTAGTCTGTAGTTGACATTGTCTAGGGACCATGAATGTCTGTACAAAAACAAGAGATATTTCAGCTGGGTCCAAAGTAGTGAACTGACTATCAGATTGACACTGTCCTCTATACAGCCAGGCTAAAAATACTAAAGTCTAGACAGAAGCTGTCCAAGCACCTATTAGTGCTATTTAAGGAAAATCTAACTGGTACAAGACATAATAACATTTTAGACCATAGTGTGCTTCCAACTGAATGGCAGCCGTTTACAGAAGGCCCTTCCCTGTTTCAACAAGGCATTGCCCCCAAGCAGACAGCCAGAAATGGTTATTTAAAGTTGGTGTGGAAGAACTGGCCTGCACAGAAGATCTCAACCTCAACCCCATTCAACACCTTGGGGATGAACTGCAATGCGGACAGGGAGCCAGGCCCATTATCAGTGCCCAACCTCACTAATGCTGTTGTGGTTGAATGGAAACAGAACCCTAATGCTGGATTCAAACATTTTGTTGAAAGCCGAAAAGAACTGAGGACATTTACTGCAGCATATTAATGCCCATAGAATGACATGTTTAACAATCACTCATGGGGGAGCTGTTCGGTGTCCACATACTTTTCGCCATCATTAGCAGCTAAATGTAATTTTTATAGGGTGACATTTACCTTTACTTATCCATGCCAATAGGACTGGAGAGCACTGTATAGAATTATTATTATCTTCAAACTCTAAAACCACATTAAACATATTAGAGGGTAGTCAAACCCTCACCAGATTACCTGATTGTTGTCAGTCCGCAGCAATAAATGATTTTATGCTCTTCTTTCAGATGATTACTATCTGTTGCGTGCCCTTTCTGACTTGACCTCACACCTGCTGAGAGTATCTCCCGGTCTTCAATTCCAACTGCATTAGCCTGTCTAGGTAATCGGACAGCTTAGGATTTTACAGTCCTAGTCCCCGTCGAGTTCCTAACTCAGTCGGAGAGCATCCTAAAGCCTGTCTGACAGCTGATAAGGAAAGGTTTATAACTCTGCCATTACGGATGCTTTACCAGACAGTGGTCTATGAGGAGATGTGAGGATTTGCGACTCACTTTGAGGGGGGGAGGGAGGGGGCATCGTTGCTCATCCATTCTGCAACCCTGTAGAGAGACAGAGAGGAAAAAAGGATAGGCTGAGATACGCAAAGATAAAGACAAAGAGACACATACACAGAACATATAAAATTGCCAATTGAATTTCTTGTGAAGCATCATAGTGTAAAGTAATTCGGTGTGACAATAATTCATGTTTACATTACACAAGCTCAATCAGCAGATGGGCCACAGAAAGGGGAAGTAAAGAAGAGTGATATCTTAGGGGCTATAGCAAGTGAAAAAGATAAGCAGAGGTTCATGAGAACAAGGAAGGTATTTCCATCAAGCTGCAGATATCATTAACCACAACTCCATGTAGGGGCCAAAAAGAGCAAAAAAAAATTCTATCTAGTCTATCTGCTGACTCTACTGACTACTGACAGTTCCCAAAGCACAGAGAGAGATGAATAACAAAGCATTCCTGATCAGTGGGCTTTTTGTGTGGAATACCCTGCAGCATGATTTGAAATGTATCAAATTTGATTTTTTAAGGACTAAGGAAGATGAATCAAATGGAAATTGGAAAAGCTTTCATTAAATCCATTCTTTGAAGACTAGTCCACTGCTTCTGTTTCTCTTTCCCTCCCTCATTCCCTTTTCTTTTTGTTGGAGAATATATATGCATTGGTAATAACAGAATATGCTACTGTTGTCTGCAACTCAACAGTGTTGCTCCTGTGCAGTCCTGAGCAAACAAAATAAATAGGGTGTGAATTCCCCTAAGTAAACACTTTGGACATTACAGTTAAAATGAATGCATTACTAATATGTATCTTCACGCCTTAGACAGCACGCCTTTTATACATGCGAGTCTTCTTGGTTCCAGCAGTAACTTGTGTTACGTATGTTGTTGTTGTTTGAGCCTCTACAGTGCTTTACATATTATAAACCTAAATAATGTTTAGGTAGATGTTAGTATTTTATGCTTCCCCCTATATTTTATCATAGTAGGGTATTTAGATAAAAATGGTGTTTCCAGCATTTCAGAATGTGGTTAAGTTGACCCTGACCCAGCAACACCAAAGCTAAAAAGTAAATTTCATACAGTCTTCAACCAGTTAGGAGAGAATAAAATACCTATTATCAGTTCACAGACTGCACAATTCAAGATCAAAAGGCAGAAAAAAGGTAACTATATTATAATTTAGTTATAATTCAAAGAAACTCGCAGATCAAAGTATCTGTTTAAACCAGGGTCAGCAACACAATGCAAACATTGCAACATATTTGAGCCTTATAATGATTTTCTCGCTGCAGATCAAGCATACACAGTGTTGAAAACAAACAAATCTGTCCAGGCACTATTAAATTCTTAATTTCACTTTCACACACACACATTGATGTTCGGCAAGATATCTCTATATTTAAAAGGCTGCACGTCAGGACATAACGTATGACTGGAGAAGAGCAAAAGAGCTGCATGTGGCTCTAGGTTGCCTTCCCTTCGGTTTAAACACTATTGATCTCTATCCATTAGTTTATTCAGAAACCACTGTTCTTTCTTCTGGTTCATGTAATAAGTTTAACATCACAGGTTACAAACAAACTACATACCTACAAATCCACCTCAGCATATTGAAAAACATAACAACATTTCACACATCTGATGATGCAGAAACAACTACACAGCTGTGAAGAGAAAACACAAGGGTCCTGTTCAGCACATTCAGAAGCATCAGGTTTTTAAAGACAGCCTAGGGCTGTCACTGCTGCAAATACCAAAAAACACATTATTGGCAAAGAGAGCAATACATGGACACACACATAAAAGTGTTGCAGTAGCAGGGTTGTGATCTGGAATACAAAAATAGCAGGAAAAGCAGAGAAACGGGAGTCTTAAAATAGAAGCAAATGGAAGTTTTATGTCCAAAAGTGAGTGATATTCTGAGGATGCTCTGTGATTAAAGCCTGGTAGGAAGAACGGACGGGTTTGGGCAGCAGGCAGAGCCTGGGGACCACTTACAGTACCTGAATTCTCTCGATCATGGCAAACAGGTCCGAGGTCTGGGGAAGAGAATTGACACAGATCCAAAAAGGGATATAGGTTGAGTTAATATGCTTTCCCTGCTGTCTTCACTCATCTATCATCTCTGCTCATTGCGAGGTGGCTATGCAATCTCAAGACACAAGACCCCCTGTTGGAATCTCTGACACCCATTAATTCTTTATTTAACTATGACATGCATCCCCCACCCGACTTGACACCAGTCCCACTGAGGCTCCATTGAACTCAAGGAGAATCGTTCCTCCACGCTTGCAGACAAACACACTGTAAACAAGTAACTCTTCGGGGAAAATGAGCCTCAAAGCTCCACGGTGCCTCTCACTGTTGCTATAGCCAACAGCTCATCTGACTGCATGCAATGGCCAAATTAGCTGGAGGACACAATGGTTTTGGTGTCTGGCACACAGTCACATTAATTTGTGAATGAGACACACGTAACCTATAAAGTAGCAGGCAGGAGTGTATAAGGCAGGAAATAAAAATAAATTGACATGGATGATCGGGCAACTGGGTTTCATATCAACCGTGGTATAATCTTGATGTTGTGTAATCAACATGTGTCCAGGTGGTGATACTAGTGCTGCTCATTAGACAAAGAGGCTTCAATCCAACTACTGGATTTATAATTACACCTCCACCGTTCTCTGCCACAGAACATAATTCAGTGTTTTGTTAAATTAGCAGAACTACTGTTACGGGTTAAAGTAGATGAAAACACCCTCAGGCATGCATTTCTCAACTGCAGAGGCCACGTTATGGATTTCTTGCTGCTCGAACCTGCAATGAAGAGGATCGCATCAGCCCTGACGGCACTGCTTGTTATGGGGTGAGCCCTCTGTTCACCATGTAACACAAGTGGACTGAGGTGCCAAGCTGATGTTTCCACATGACAGCTTAAATTTACTGAGGGGCACTGCAGGGCTTGCAAAACACATACACACACACACACACACACATCACACACACAAAACCATGGAAAAGCGTACACGTGCGCGCATATAAACATTTCCACACATGCATGTACTATAACGTAGTTGTAAACTTGAACACACACAAACACACACACGCACCTGACCGTTGTAAAGCCAAAGGTGCAGCCTCAGTCTATTATTGCATGTGAAAATAAACAGTGCCATATGATATTCAGGGAGATACTGCTCTTCTGACCGCAAAACAAACATCAACAAACATTGTTCTTATGCTGAGCAGATTATCAGTGAACCACACAGACGAAATATCTCCTGAGAAGGAAAGGAAGCAAGAGCAATACACTCCTGGATTGTGTTGGAGTTGCTTTTTTAGTGCAGCTGAATGTGAACCACAGCTGTGTACATATATGTCCAATATATAATAGCATAATTAGAGAATTTGCTGCTTGAATTTTACATCAGATTAAAAAAGATAAAGCATGTACAGTAGGCAGTTTCTCCACACAACAACACAGTTGACTGTGAGGGCTAAAAACATATCCCAGAGCAGTGGAGCACATGTATCTATCTGTACAATGTACAGCAATCCAATATTTACTGTTCTGCAGCACCAAACATATATATTTCTGTCTCTAAGCTACCTTAAGAATTAAACAAGCAACAACAACTAGAGCGAAAAGAATCTCTCACTTCCAGCAAGTAAAAAATACTCACATCACTGAGGCATCGTTTCTTGAGAAAAGACTTACTGGGGGGACTGCTGTGCAGTTCATCCAATAAGGCATTCTTAGCCATCCTGAACTCAGTCATCATTCCACAAGTACGAATGCAGGCAAGCTGACAAGAGCGAGGGTGTTGATGTCACTGTCAGCCACAAGGAGAAAGGCGAGATTGACAGAGACACTTCACACTCACTGTCGCTCAGGCAATAAACTAGGAGAGAAAACTTGATAGCTGTCCATCAGAATCCATACATCAGTGTGTGAGGTAAAAGCACATGCTGTAATGTGAGAGTATCTCCCTTCCTTCCCTTTTCTTCTGCCCCCCACCCTTCCATAGACACACAGCTGTTCAGTAGGAAGTAGGAGGAAGGGAGAACAAATGTTTCTCCCCTCCCTGTCTGCTCTGCAGAACTATCTTCTCTTTTTAATGCAAACACACGCATGCACACAGAGACACACCCACTTACATGTTCACACACCAAAAACTGCATAGTTCTCTTTTCTGTATCACAATATGAGAGTATTCTCTTCCTCTTTTCTTTCATCTCATATTTCTCAACCCTCCCTCTCAGAAACACGTCTCTGCTCCACACAGCAGCAGACATCACCATTAAATGTGTAGGCATTTCTTTTACTTCTAAGGCAATTAAGGACAAACCCAGAAATGTCCATACATTTTACAGTTTATGTTTCCATGCTTCCTACAGCACATTTGAGAAGTAGGTTAATTATACCTTCAGTGCTCATATAGATTGAAAGTGCTGATTATGAGCTTATTTAATTTGCTTCTATTTCTGTGCAAGCACACAGACAGATTTTCAAGCCTTTTTCTTGCTGAGATATGTTTACAATCAATCCTTAATAACACGAAGTAGCCATCATAAAAGAATGAAATGAGTGTTGCACTCTGGGGGCTCTACATGGTAATGCACCAGGCACTTTTCACTGCACCGTGCTCTTACTAAGCAACAACGTGAAATCTCCAAGTGTTATCACTTCCACCAGGGAAGCTATGTGAGACAGGCAAGTAGCCCAGTTCTTTGCATGTGTAGATGCCACAGATTGATGGAGGACTTAGCCAACCCCAGCACCTCTAAAATCATCTGCATAGTTAAGCACTAGTATGTCTTGAGAGATAGTAGAAGACAGAGAAGGAGAGATAAAAAGATGAGGGAAGCAGAGAGCTGTCGTTCTGTGAAAGCATAGTCTTTTTTGTGCAGCTATTTCCATCAGGCCAACATCAGATATCAACAAACACTGACCTACTTCTAAAAAACACTGCTGAAAGCTTTTAAGAGGACAGATTCTCCCCTTATATGTAAAGTGTTTTTCATTTTGCAATAGCAGATAAACATGGTTAGCTAACCGTCTGCATTGATTTCCCTCAAGGAAAATCAATGGCAAGTACACACATGGCAGAGACGTTGTATAGATGGAATAAAAAGGTCTCAAAATATGGATTTAATATGGACAGAGGTTACTTTCAGTAGAGTGATACTGCACCAGAATGGGCCTGCCATTTAAACACTGTCTCATCCTGGGGTAACATTTCATTACTGGTGATCTGTTTACTCAGGTCTAGACTGGGTTTAGCTGAATGCCAAACTGGGATTTGAGAACATTCACAGAGGACAGCTGAATACTAATTACATACTTGCCTGATAATCATGTATAATTGTTACATGATGTCAAAATGTGAGGGAGATATTAATTACTATTCAGATTCACACTATGAGAACTGACATTGTTTCAGCTGTAAAGCATACTGATTGCAAAACTGCGTTGGTGAGTGAGACATTTCAGCTCAAGCTGTTAGGAAAGTCAACCTGCTGTTGTAAAATCCTGCCTGGTTTTGGTGAGTACAGTATGTGGTGTGATCTAATGGAACAATATGTACTGAAGAAGACCAAGAGCAGCAACAAAATCAAAGGAATCACATGTTTGACCTGGAAGTATCTTTCAGACTTTCAGACTTTATGTCCTTCAGTCTTTTAAGCTGCTCAGGTTTAGTCTCCTTCCCTCAGAGACAATATGGAGCCACCGCAGTGAATACACTATAACTGTTTGAATGCCTGAGGGGTTGAGAGCTACATGTATCTTCTTCTCAGAGTTGATTACCAGCAACTGCACTGTGTGTGTGCCTAAGAAAGAGAGGTGGTGGTAGTGCAATGAATGCGAGAGAATAAATGGCTGACTGATCAACTGTTACATTGATCGACTGACTGACTTGGCTGAACAGCTATGTGAGTCAAAACACAGTATGTGTGTGAATACATATGAGGAGTATTAATATCCATCAACCATACAGTCCAGACTTTTCTCCTCAGTCTGCAAGCTCAAAAGTAAAGCTCTGACTCTAGTACTTCTTTAACTCCTCACAACCAGAGCCCCATTTGAATTTCCACAGACAAACTGCCAATGATTTGCATCCAAAGCAATATCCTCACGCCTACTCACTCCCCATCCCTTTCCATTTATGCTCTCTGGGTTAGCCGCATCCTCAAAGGCAATACAGTAAAATGGAAAACTAAACTTCAAAGAGAGTTAATCAATGGGCACAGAAGCCTATCATTTCAGCCAGAGAAAATCCATTGGGGTCCATTCATCAGGTCTGGCTCCAGAGACTAGTCTGACCTTGCTGTGGCCACTGGGGCCTGGGGAACACAAATGGAGTCCATACAGATGGCCCCCTTCACCCCATCAGCGCCTCAGACGAGCTAGTTACAGAGGTTACGGTCGACAGAGTTGCAGCTGAGTTTTCGGTCTGTCCTACAGTCTTCACTCTGGCAAAAGCAGTGAACCGTCAGTTTAGACAAAGAGGCACTGCTGCAAGTCTCTACTACACTACAACACAGAGCATCTCTTGCATTCTGATCAACATCTGCTGGGCATTTGTATGTGTAATGCATTATTATGACTAAGTGTTGTATCAAGGACTTCAGAAAGCAAAAACCTTGAACTTTCAGCATAGAGCAACTGAATCCATTAGTACCCTTTTGTTACGGCTGAACTTCATAAGGTGAGCGTGTTAATTAAATCATTAAAGGAGTATGCCACTAATTTAGCACTGTACTATATAATGTTACTATTATAACATTGTTGGACTCACGATGGGCAGTTAAAAAATGGATGCATTTAGACCAGAGATATTATCTTTTTTATTACAAGCATTACTGTTCCTTCTCAAAACCTGGTGCATACAGTACTCTCAACGCAGTTTGACCACCAGCAGTTCAGTTGGAGATTCAGGTGTGTTATGCTAGTAGTGGCTAATGTAGCCTTGAGCAGAGATGAGGAACGTGCTACAGAGGTCTTGTAAGCTCACTTCTTTCTAACTCCCCAACCCAGATTTATTTAATTTCAAACTTGGAATCTTGAGCCAAGTTACATCACTTGAAGCAATTTATCAGACTTTTCACAGCTCTCTCTGGATCCACAACTAAACAACTTTTTTTCACATATGCAGTAGTACTCTCTAAGACCTGCAAACCGACTTTGATGTGTAAAATTGGCAGAGTTCCCCTTTAAGCAAACTGAATGTGGGAATATTTGTGATAATCAGACATCAAGCACATGTATGGATCCTCATGTGGATGAATCAGTGGCTTTGTCTGACTCCTGTATTGTTGTCAGACCTGGAGATCACAACATAAAAACCTTCATGCCATCAGCTCTGATCACATCATTATTAACACACTAAAGTTAAGTCTGACTTGCAGAGACACCAAGTAAACCTCTACAGTTTCACAATAAGAAGATTTAAGACACAAATAGCATCTCTGTAGCTACGTCTATGTGCAAAGGTCCCACTGCCAACATTATTAGTATAGTATGTATCTCATGAAAAGACCATCAAAGTACCTTCCAATATGTCAAATATAATGTACTTGAGATAAAGTATTCTCTGCCTTCTGTGATCAAAGCTCTATCATGTGAATTTGTCTTCAGTCTTTACACCAGCTGCTTTATTCAGAAACACTTGGCTGAATTGATCAAAGAGCTATTAACTTCAGCCACTGGCAGTTTCTACAGCAATAAAACTATAAAGTGCTGCTGTCTTGTTTAAGCTCTTGGTTTCAACAACCCTACTGTGTGCAACCTATAACCCTATAAATGAACTGTAGAGAAGACAAATTCCTGCCACTTTAGACACACAACCCATTGTGGCAACATTAAGCTTCATAGAAATCTCATTGGTTTCTATACAACTTGCAACATTATAAAAGCAATACAATTTGACATAACAAATATATATATTATATATCCCCACAAGTCTATTCTGTGCCGCTCTGTAAATAACTATATTATTAATCCCTTGCTAATTGTATTTCCACTGCATGTGTGACAAAAATAATATCAATGTGCTTCCTATGGTATATACTGTATCAGAGAGGAACAACTGCTGCAGATCTATATTTGTCCCAGACGCCTGTGACAGAGGGCACAAACTCTTCTGTCAAAATAGACAACAGCCTGCAAACAGCAACCAAGGAGTGCGGACATCAGAGACACCCTTTACCTGGGTGAAACAGCTAATGGATATGATGAGCGAAAAGATGGAGGAAACTATTAAATTATTATTAATTAAAATCCATAGACTGGTAACACTATTTCATATGGGACAGAAGAATAAGATATACCAGGATTTGGCAACACAGGCAATGTTTATTAGTAAGATAACTTAATTGTTGGTTTTGTTGGTTTTGGTCTTTTAAATAAACAACTTAGGATATAGGTCATTACGAAGAACTGATATCCATTTTGTCTACATTATCCTCCATTAGACAAATATAATATCCTTAACAGACCTACTTCATTGCAGGTGTTTTGACTTGTTAGAAAATGCTCTGGTGTAACAAACAACATTAATAATGGCTACCAGTAAGCCATGCTAATGATTTTGACTATTGTTTAATGACAGACTTGAAAAACTGAGGCACAATCCTTTTATTATTGTTGTGTTTTTACTGTTAGGACGTATCAAAATGTCTGCTGTTGAAAACCTCAATTGTGTGAAAAAGGCTGAAGAACAGTTGTTGATTTGAGTTGACACATTTATCAGATCAGATTCTTGGCAGTGTGTCAACGTCTGATTCCAGTAACTGTACCGAACCCTGAACAGGGAAGCGAACAGCAGCAGGTTGAAGTCTTGTGTTACCTTTGAAAGTGAGGGAAGAGGAAACGGAGGGTGGGAGTGTGCTAGCGAGGGCTCTATTTCATCAGAGATACGAGGAATCCTTCCATCTTGCTTCCTGTGAGGAGAGAGGGAGGGGGAGAGAGAGAGAGAGAGAGAGAGAGAGAGAGAGAGAGAGAGAGAGAGAGAAAGGGAGCGTTAGGTTATGGCTAGCATTCATTCAAGTAATAAGAGCACAGCAAAATGTCTGTAACACAACTGACTCCCGTCAAAGAGGTTCATTCAACTCTTACTACAGTGTGCAGCGTGCTATTATAACTCCACTATTCTGAGAGTATTTCTTTTTCCAGGAGTAATACCTTTGTGTATAGCTTGCATGAAGTTTTTGCCCTCAGCTAGGTTGAAAGCGATGAGTGCAATTAGATGAAAGACTATGAAACAGTAGAGATCAGGAGAACTGGACCGAGGAAGAGGAAAAGTGTAAAAACGACTGGGAACAAAGTGAAAATTGATACAAGCCCAAGAAGAAAGGACGCTCAGCTTTCATCTCTTAACCCGCTGCCCTCGCCTCTCTTTCTCTGTTCCTCCTGGCCCCTTCTCTTCTCTGTGTGATGGGAGTGAATTACCAGTCTGACCAGGATTCTGGTCACAGTATATTACTTCACACTTTGTCTAACACAACAGTCACTTGCTAGAACTGGCAGCCCGTCTGTGCATGCAACCTGTTCACAAACCTGCAGCAGAGGGCATTTGCAAGCAACACTGCTTAGAAGCAAAAGAAACACAGAACAATAGCACAATCTGATTTCTTTGTGAGAATGGAGCGAGAATTGGTGGAGACTTGTACACGCACACTAACATATTTCTCCCATTTTGCCATCTTGGCACACACAGGGTGGTTAAAAGGTGAGAGGCTGAAATAAGATCATTTAGAGAGTGGTCTTTCTTCTGCAGACAGTCCATTACTAGATATTGCAGCTCCCCCTATCTGAAAACTCCTTGCCTATTACAACTGGGGAGAATCTATAAGTCTGAGTAAACAGAGCTGCACTTTTATGACAACAGACTGCTGACCTGGAGTTGAGGTTAGGAAATCTATTTGTAACATAGCAGAAACACTGTTCTTTGTTGCCTTAGATCTCTGCTGAATCCTGGGAAATGACTGAATGAGGCTGTCAGATCTTTCCTGCAGCATCCTCAGCTTCTCAGAACTGGCATTTCTCTAGAGAGTGAACTTTGTTACGTCTTTCATATAATGCAACCGGAACACAATGAAAATATGTTGTCAAATGCTGCTTCAAGCCATGAATGATGCATTAAAATCTGCCAACAAAGAACAGGCTTACTGGGCTTGTTCAGTCAGAAATCTGCCTATTGTAGACTGAGGTGACACCTTGTTTAACTGTCCCATGGGAACAGTTAGGATAGCAAAGTCAAACACCAAATCTGAAAAACAAATTTCCGAAACACACAGTTATTATTACACTGATTTACAAGGTGTTTTTTTTTTTTATCTGCACATACAAAGACTATTCCTTTAATCATATTTTACCCTTTGCACAGTAGACGTAAGTCACCTGCCTGCTGCTTCAGCATGCAGAGAGCAAACCCAAACCTCCCATGTGGGACTAACCAGATCCATAATGGAAGGCAAAGCACAAAGGTGCAAATCAATTCTGATTAGGAAGACTCCATAGACAGAAAGATGAAGGCTGCCTGATAGCCTGCCACTTTCCCTACCGATGGCATGCTTGGTGGCTCTCATCACAGAAGATGAATATATTTTTGTAGTATGTGTGTGTGTGTGTGTGTGTGTGTGTGTGTGTGTGTGTGTGTGTGTGTGTGTGTGTGTGTGTGTGTGTGTGTGTCTATGTGTCTGTTTATACAACCACTGCATTAATTTACAAGACAGATAACAGAAATATATCTGGTGAAGGGGTAAATGCTAAGTTTGACTCAGGGAGATATTTCAGGCTGGGATATTCTGATGATCACAGCGAGCACACGTTATCAAATACCACCATCCTGACATGACACAGTGATACAGTATGATTTGGATTTATTAAGTCTGAAATCAAAGAGGAATATTCAGTAATTTGTCATCTGCTGCAAAGGCACTGAGATGCACTGGTGCACTAAATAAATTAGCATGCAGAGTGTGTGAAGAATATGAACTGTACTGTACAGTGTGGACTAAAGGTTGTTACTGAAGTGTATCTCTCACTTCACCAGGTGGTAATCTTTCATTCTTTAATGTGTGTTAAAAATGGCCAAACTGTGTAAATCCTGGTACAAATCCTGTTGCTTTATTCAATATATATCTACTTATCAATGATAAAATATTAAGTCAAGTCAAACAGGGTGACAAGTTCCATAAAGCTTTTTCCTCCTTTTTCTGTCATTCACCATTCATCTGTCTATCACCAGTTCCCACTGCACTGTGTCCTGGAGGCATTCTTAATTGGAAATAAACCAATTATTGATTTGTTATGTTATTACATAATATTTTTACATTAATAATGCAACTAATATTCATTAGACAAGTCAAACTGTGTGCAACCACCAAGCCCTACATAATCCTATATAAACAATAAACTAGACTTATATAAATAACCAACTGTTGTATTGAGCTGAATTAAATATTCTGGCCTACTAAACTTTGGACCTGGTGACGGGCACAGGCCAATCCTGTGCACAGAAGCAGGTGGCAGGGTCACTGTGTCACATAGGCAGGATGATTGGCACATTGGAGGCACATCCCAAGCAACACTTATTTAGCCAGCTTAAACAATGAGTTAGACTGTTGCCTGTTGCCAATCTGCTAACATATGATGCCAGGAGAAAGGTTCATTCTTCAGTAACATCTGATTAACTTGCAATCTTGTGGACCCAGAGAGCCAAAGTAGGAAGAGAGAGAAGGAAAGAGGTGTATCACTGTGTTAGTGTCTCACATTGCTCATGCCAATGTTAATAATAGATGCTCGATCATCTGATTTCATGGCCTGAGTGGGCTGCCACAACCACAAACATTTGTGGTTTATTTTTCCTGATTATACATTCATCTCACAGGTTCTAGCACCTCTTGCTCTGTGGTGGACAGAGTGTGCACAAAGCTCATTCCTCTTTTTCTCTCCACATTGGTGTTGATTTCTTGTCAAAGCTGCAGTTGCGTGTCACCTAGCAACATTACCTATCCCCGAATCCCTGAAAGATTTGAAAAACAGACCGAAAACTTACAATACAGAATCAATGTTCAGAATTATAGCTATTATTAACTAACTCATGAGTCATCTTCATGTTTTTGATTACCTCCAAGTAGCCAAACTTTTAATTTCATCCACTGCTGAACAATACATATACCATATACATTATACTGATGAAAGATATTAGCTGACTATAATCATACAACGTAAGGTGACTATTTTGACATTACAGGTTTTCTTCATGCTGCTAATCACCAACAGTGAGTTAAAAATAGCTTAAAGTGCACCCATAAAGCCCCAGAGCAAACAATTCACCAGGGATAAATGGTGAACAAATAGTTAACTTTGCTCTCAGTACCAGAGAGTGAAACTCTGAACTAACTGGTGTACACTATCAAGCCCTTTGCTTGCTGGATTACGTTGGTCTTCATGATAGAATTGTGTTTCTATGTTAATGTCTGGCAGAGGGAAGTTTCTAAAATAGACACAAAGCATTCTGAAACTTAATCTGCCAATGAATCCTATGCGTTGCCAGCAGCTGCCTCCACAGACTGCTGGGTCATGAGCTCTGATACGAATTCCAGCTTTCTGTAGTCCAGTGATGGTTGAGGCTGAGCAGCACCTGCAAATACAGATGAGCCTGGCAACACTGAATGCCCCGCAAACTGAATTTAAAACATACATTTGGGTAAGATGATTCTGTACTGTGCTGCTACAGTCACAACACAGAGAGGGTCAAGGTCAGTCAGATACAGAAAAACAGTTGAACCATTATTTTACATGTTAAGGGTCAATGTATCAACTGCACAATCTATGTCCAATAAAATATGCGTTTCCTGGAGGTAAATGTTGTAACCTTTGGACTAAAAACTTCCACTTCCCGTAACTGACCTGTTTGATTTGCTGACATGGCTTATAAAAAAACTAGTAAAATAATGATTTTACTTAAAAAACAGCACCAGATTTGTTCTGCTCTACGGCTGTATATTGTGATGATTCATGCTTAGTCATTATGCTTATCCTTAGCATGTTGTTGGGCACAGCAAAAGTACAGTTTTATTTTAAGAGGCGAGTATAGTGTGTACCATCAAATACAATGTTATAGTCCTGTGTTGATTGTAATTTCTTTTGGATAAGTTTGATAAGTGGTTATATCTTTATTGATAAGCTAATTATAATGTATACCTAAATATCTGAGATGACAATTGTAATTTCATTGACTTTACACAAGTTAGTGTACACATAATTTGTTATAGTTTGCCCCACAAAGTCTAAGCAGAGTAACTGCAGTCGGCTGAATATCAGGCCTACCAGCATGATGTTGATCAGTGCAGCAGAAAAGAAGCTTTTTATAAAATAAAACCAAATAATTGAAATTGTGAAAAAGCAAAAAGCATGTAGTAGAATACAAAGAATTAAGAGGTTCATCTAAAGGCACATAAGCATAACTCTCTACAATGGTTCTGGCGAATTATGTTGACCCAAGGCCACATGACTACTGTGCCAGCTCAACAGACAATTGGCAAGCAAAAGATAACCACATGCACTGCAGAAAAGTCAGATATCACTGGATCATGTGGTAGAGAAAACTCCTTTGCAACAACCCAAATGGGCTTCAGCACATACGTCTTCCTCAGCAAGAAGACCTTGGGGCGTCTTGCATTAATAACGAGATCAGAAGTTTTATCTATTCCTTTGTAACCGTATCTCAAAATGGATAATGCGATGATCTCTATATGCAACAAGAACCAAACCAACTATAAAACAAAAAACTGGGTAAGAGACCATGATGATTTACCATCCCAATTCTGTTAAACCCAACTAATGAAAGTAAGTCAGTAAATGATTGTGTGATTATAGGTCTGCCGACATGGAAATGTTTTATCAATGAAACAGAGATTTATAGATAATATAC